TATATATATAATATATAACCATCATCTCCCTTGTCTTGTTTGACCGGTTAGATAAGATGGTGCCTTGGTGTGTCTATGAATAGTTTTATTTTATTTTCTGTCATATTTTTGTCTTCAGCATGTAGACGCCTCCTTTCCTGCATTGGGTGACTCCATTTCGTCTTTGTCTTGGGTAATTCCCAACCAGGACCCGATGTCTATTTCTGAGCGTTAAGGCCGCTTCTACACAGAATTCTTTAGTTTTACATGGTGACGGCTTCATATATTTCCTCTATAATTGATATAATTGTGTACCTGTGTGGTAATGATGGGCATCAAGCCTAGTTTTGTGTTCAAAATGTTGAGTACATATCTGTGAGCCAGTGAGTTACAGTATGGTAGGGTGTCACCCTGTGCGGCAGTTAATGGTGTCACCCCCAGTGGCATAGCGACCCTTTCCCGGGGGACAAACTTTCAAATGTTCGTTTTGCACCCCCCCCCCCTGTAACTTTTGATTTGCACCCCCCCCCCTCAAGTTTTTCTCTATTTATTTTGATATTTTCTTTTGCCTTGGTGTCAACCCCCCTAAATGGTGTCACCCGGTGCGGTCCGCACCCCGCCCCTCCCCCCTCTCTACGCCTCTGCAGTATGATGTGTACATATCTGTAGGCTAAGCGAGATACCTCATGTTGTATACAAACCTAAAGGCTGATGATGGGTTTTATTACTGTTTTGTGTACCACATATGTGTGTACATACCTGTAGGCTAATGATAGGGTTCAGTCCCAGTTTTGCGTACCCATATTGTGTACATACCTGTACACTAATGAGTCACCACATGTGTGTACGTACCTGTAGGCTAATGATAGGGTTCAGTCCCAGTTTTTCCGTCGTGTCCACCAACTTCTGCATCTGCCAGCCTGTGAAGTTGCTGACGCCCACGTATCGGATTTTTCCCGATCCTCACTAGGTCGTCCATGTGCGTAGCGTCTCCTCCAAACGGACCGGCGTCGTCAAAACAGTGGGCCTGGGGGTTTATGGTTCAAGTTAAAACAGTGGGTCTGGGGTTTATGTGGTTAAAACAGTGGGCCTGGGGTTTATGGTTCAAGTTAAAACAGTGGGTCAGGGGTTAAGGTTAAAGTTAAAACAGTGGGTCAGGGGTTTATGGTTTAAGTTAAAACAGTGGGTCAGGGGCTTATGGTTTAAAGTTAAAGTTAAAGTTAAACAGTGGGTCATGGGTTTATGGTTTAAGTTAAAACAGTGGGTCAGGGGTTTATGGTTAAAGTTAAAGCTAAAACAGTGGGTCAGGGGGTTTATGGTTTAAGTTAAAACAGTGGGTCAGGGGTTTATGGTTAAAGTTAAAGCTAAAACAGTGGGTCAGGGGTTTATGGTTTAAGCTAAAACAGTGGGTCATGGGTTTATGGTTTAAGTTAAAACAGTGGGTCAGGGGTTTATGGTTAAAGTTAAAGCTAAAACAGTGGGTCAGGGGTTTATGGTTTAAGCTAAAACAGTGGGTCATGGGTTTATGGTTTAAGTTAAAACAGTGGGTCAGGGGTTTATGGTTAAAGTTAAAGCTAAAACAGTGGGTCAGGGGTTTATGGTTAACAGAGTTTCTTCCAGGCATCTCTTGGGCATCACTCTCTACCATTCTATAAAGTACTATACTATATATATATATATATATATATATATATATATATATATATATATATATATATATATATATATATATATATATATGTATGTATGTATGTATGTATGTATGTATGTATTTATCCAACACGCATTGTATTTACCTGATACAGATCAACGTAGTCAGTCTTTAATCGTCCTAAACTAGCATCGATACTAGCTGTAATGTGACGTCTGCTTAACCCTATATTGTTAGGGTTGACCTCTGTTCCCATGTTTGAACGGACCTTAGTGGCTACAATAAAGTTGTCCCTTGTTTGCCTATAGAGATATTACAGAATTAACTACAGCAGGTTCGCTGGGTTCAATCAAAGAACTTGTAGAGGAGTTGATGAAGTGTATGTATTGTATAATATCATGTCTATTTGTTTTCTGGTTGAAAATTAAGTCGTTTATTTTCTTGCAAACCTCCATATATTTTTCTGTCCATCTGTCTAACGTTTTTGTATGTTTCCGTCTATTTTTCTCTCTCCTACTATTATGTTCCTACTTTTTGTCTTTGTCTATTTTTCTGTCTGTCTTTCCTACATTTATGTCTTTTTTCGTCAACTTTTCTGTCTGTCTCTCTGTTTCGTGCCTTTGTCACATTCAGGGCAAGTGTCCATTCGGGGAAAACGGCCTTGGTGTAAAGAGCATTCGGTGTAAACAAACTTTCGATTTGCACCCCCCCCCCCCCCCCCCCCGCTACGCCTCTGCCCAGCACGCGACCACGCCGTCCCAAACATATAAGTGTGGTAAGAGAGAAAGAAAGTGTAAGGAATGAAATAAATATCTACTGATGTAAAGTGTGTTTACCTTTCCAGCCATTTGCCGAGAATCTCCTCTGACCGGCCCCGCCCGTACACGTCGGCCGTGTCGAAGAAGTTGCCGCCCCACTTGACGAACCGGTCGATAATCTGGTGGGAGAGGTCCTCGTCACACTGTCCTGGGATTCCCCACTAGAAAACAAATGTTTCAATACATATATTTACTGGCGTTCTTAGATAAGGGATGTCCACACCCCCGCACCCCCTAGAGACGCCAACTGTATAATTTCGCTCCCTGTGTATCACAGAGCCAAGACCACACTTTACCATGTATCGTGACTTGTAGATATTCTACTCAGTGCATTCCACTTCGTTCCAACATCCCCGATTTTATTTTTACAGATAATTTAAGTTGGAGTTAATGTATAAAAACTGTAAGAAGTTAGTTAGTGGAGCTAATGATTCAGAAGAATATTAATTATACTCGTAGAGGTGACCGGAAAGATACGCAACGGAAAACTGCGCCCCAAAAAAAGGTGAGCAAGGTCATTTTTGTTTTCATAGACATTAACACAGGGTGACTACATGTGCACTGTAGCATAATAAAAAAAAATCCACAGTATATGACAAAATTTAAACGTATTGTGTATATTTAGTTTGTATTTGCGCATTTTTCTATTTGCACAGTTTTCCGTTGCGCAATTTTCTGATTGCGCGTTATTCCGGGAACCACTGGTTGATGCATGAATATTTCTTGTTATGTAGGCAGTAAGTTTTTTGTAAACGTTTAGTCAGTTGTCAGTGAATACACTGTCATAGTTTACCCCATTACTTACTGAGGATTCCCCAAACGTCATGGCGCCCAGACAAATATTGGAGACTTTCAGGCCTGACTGTCCCAGGAACACGCTAGGAAGTTTCTTTTCTTTCGGGATTTCGGTCGCCATGGTTGATAAACTTAAGCTTTTTAAAACGGAAATAACATTAAAAAATAAGTTTTAATACTTTCAAACGGAATACAGGTATTCATTATGGGTGTGGTATATCAAGAGTTAGGCGTTTTCTTGTTTAATGGCGCTCCTCCAACCCCAAAAACCTGCATACGCCCCTGCAGTAAATATTGAAATATATAATTTCTAAATATTATTTAGTCATTCTTCAGTTATTATTTTTTAATGATTTTATTATCTTAAATAACATTGCTACATGTCTAATAAATCACAGATATGCCTTCTAAACTAATCTAAACGAACCTAAAATTCAAACTATTTTGATGAGGCCAATAATAAAAAAATTAATAAAAATTAAACTTTGTTTCAATACTTTACTAAATAAAGTTTTAGTATTTAAAACTTACCGGCGTTATCTCTAATGGTGTGTGAAATAGGCCCCGGCTAGTCTCAACACGACTGTTTTAATAGCGTGCGATAGCATTGGATAGCAGTATCTCAAGATGGTGAATAGGTTTCAAGTGAACTTGCAAGTATATTTGTTGGGGTCAGCATAACCGGTGTGGTCTGACAATGCTTAAAGTGCTATTCTAGCGTGGAATTCAGGGGGGGGGGGGGGGTAGCGTGGAATTCAGGGGAGTGGCGTTAGTTTGGAATTCAGGGGAGTAGCGTTAGTTTGGAATTCAGGGGAGTGGTGTGGAATTCAGGGGAGTAGCGTTAACGTGGATTTCAGGGGAGTGGTGTGGAATTCAGGGGAGTAGCGTTAGCGTGGAATTAAGAAGAGTGACGCGATATCACTGTAAAAACATCTTAGAGAGTTCATTATTTTTTTTTCATGTATCTTTGGGGGAGGAGGGAAGTGCCCCGACAGAAGATATTCCGACCACCACCACCCCCCTGAAAGTGTGGGTGCACTTAAACCATCTAGGGGATGGTGGCACTTGAAAATCCTATATCGAACAATTGTTAAAGTATATATTTTCTTTTTCTTTCCCTATTATTTATTGTTTCCGTTTTCTCAAATGGTCAGTGGGGCGTGGGGGGGGGGGGGGGGGCGAAGGCCACCTCTGTGAGACGCCTTAAAAATAAACATTGCCACCCCCTTTAGAAAAATCCTTGTCTACGCCCATGTCTCTCGCCCAAACTGTATGCGACAATGTGATCAGATGTTACAGTGTACGACTGTACGAAGTCTGGAATTCGTAGGATGTATCTGAGTCAACACATCTCTTTTGGTCCCTGACTCACGTTTTGGAAACTTTTATTTTTTTGGCCTTTGTGCATAGTGCTGACCACACTATCCCTTTAACTGCCGACATCCCAGAAACAGGTGACCTCTGCTTTAACTGCTCAGTTGATCTTTAAGTTCGAAAGGATAATTTAAACACAAGCAGTACCTGGACAGCAATAAACATCACCAATTTTAACAAATCTTTTAGAACTCTTTTATTTATTTTAATTACGATTTACAGCTGCGGTGCTATAGTCGTAGATGACTGGTTTAAGGTGATTAGCAAAAAAAAAAAATTGTCAGAAGTGGGATTTGAACCCACGCCTACAAGAGTAGACTGCGACCTGAACGCAGCGCCTTAGACCGCTCGGCCATCCTGACTAACTTATCGACAGTTTTAAACTAAAATCAACAAGTATTTTCCTTAATATATTTGACAGTGTCTAAATATTCTACAGATCCAGCCAAACTTTCCTTAACGCAGTCACCGCGAACCGACAAACTAGTGGATGGGCCAAAAGTATTGACCATATATTGTTTTAACTTCTAAGACAAGGTCACAGCACCAGGTTTACTTCATCTAGCCCTAAAGATCACCATTTCCAAAAGGGTAACTGCCTTACATAATATGAAGGGCTCCCTATATATATATATATATATATATATATATATATATATATATATATATATATATATATGGGGTGGGGTGAGCTAACCAGGTCTACTTGAGCCTTATCTGTAGCCTATATTTGATACATCATTAAACGTTAATCAAATAATACACAAAGCTCATGAAGTGGTCGGCCCACATTGACCTCCACCTTGCAGAAACTTGACGGTAGCTGATAAGTGAGGCGTACTTAGACCGAGTAATGATGCTGCATGCTTGACGAATGCTCTTGGGTCAGAAACTAGGAACGCGTGGCAGTCTTATTGGAATAAGTTAAGTCCGTGGCGAAGGTGGAGAGGGGGGAGTTGTTGGCGTGGGATGTAGTAAACAACACCTCCCATGGTCCGTGAATTGAGAGGTTGCTCACACTAAGTTACTTTTATTTTTAAAATATATCTTTATTTTGTATTTAGGCCTATATATATATATATATATATATATATATATATATATATATATATATATATATATATATATATATATATATATATATATATATATCACCCTTTCAAACAACCCCCACCTACACCACTAAGTTAGTTCGATCGTTCAAAAGTTCTAATCACATCTGTTTTCTAGATTTTTATGTTATATTAGGCCTATGTATGAGTGTGAACGTATACGAAATCACCCTTTCAAACAACTCACCAACGCTACGATGTTAATTCACGCATTCAATCTAACCAGGGGCGGAACTACAGTGCCGCCAGACCCCGCAATGCGGGGGGGGGGGGGGGGGGGGGGAGGGGGGCAGGCCGTTTAGGGCCCACAGCCGACCATAATCATTTTTTTTATTGTTAAAAAAAAATATTTTCTTGCAGCTGTATTGTAAAAAGAATATTGTAGCTGCTGTTGAATTATAATTTCTATAGACACCATCCCGAGTCCTCTTTCTCCTACAATCGCTGTTGGTAAAATTCTTTTGAAAATAAATCTAAGTCCATCACGTTACAGGCTGTTAGATATTTAGACGACTTTTGTTTCTTTATAGCAGGGGTCTCCAAACTACGGCCCGCGGGCCGGATGCGGCCCGCGAAGTCCTCTTATCCGGCCCGCGGAGATGTTTTTGTCTAACAAAAAATCATTTGTCGGTGATTGCTGAGGAACTATGCCCAGAAAAATCAAAGACATGCCTGGAAGAAACTGGCCCCCGAACTGAAATTTGTTAGTTAATGCGGCCCTTGGACTGAAAAGTTTGGAGACCCCTGCTTTATAGCATTGATTAGGGACCGACAATCCATTGTGATTTTATAATGTAAAATGTTCGTTTGTTGTATTGTTAGAACTACTATTCTGTACTATACTGTATTCTACAAATAAGTAAAAATAATTAAATAATTTCAATTTTATGTACGTTTACTTATTTATTTATTTTTTTTAAAAATGATAGTAAACGTGTATAATTTGAATTATCTCCCCTGAGTGTTTCACAAAAGGCTTTAGGAAAAGTAGTTGATAGATAGATTCAGTGTTTCTTCCAGACTTTTTTTCTCCGGGGGGGGGGGGGGCACTTGAAATTTTCGGGGGGGGGGGACGGTAGACTTTCTTGGGGAGGGGGGGGCGGACACTGTTAAAAGTATATATTTTCTATATAAATTATATAAATTTCATTTCGTTCTGGGGGGGGGGGGGCGGTAAAAAAATTTCGGTGGTCAAAGCCCCCCCCCCCCCCCCGAAGAGATGCCTGGAAGAAACTCTGGATAGATTAGAAGCACATCGGCGCTTTGTTGTTCCTTTTAACTTCCTTTCTCAGCATCGTGTGTCTGTCTTTTATGCATAACTATACCCTTCATGCAACCGCAATGAAAATTTAGGAATATATATTTTCTATATAAGTTCTATTTCGTTCGGTGGGGGGGGGGGGGCAGTAGACGTTTTAAAGAGATGCCTGGAAGAAACTCTGATCTAAATTGTGTAATAGAGTTAAACAGATTTATTCCAAATTAATGGGAAATGAATTATTTAGCCTGTGTGAAGAGTTGGAAACTGTGCTTTATCTTCGCCCAAGTAGGCCAAATGTATCCCACAATTCGTCACAAAAATTAGAAGTGAGATATGGCAGGTAATGCTGCGCTGTAGGACATAGATCACAGCTAGGTATCACTTCTTTGGGAAAATTCACACATTTCTTGGGCTCTCGCAAATTTTTAAACAGAAATTAATTTTAGAAACAAAATATATAACATGTTTATAGAATAATTTAGCTAATTCGGCAACGTTTTGTATTGGCCCATTAGTCCTGGTCGTTTTGACAAAGGCATAATGATTTCTGATGTAAGGGGTCATCCATAAATGACGTCACACAACAAGAGGAGGGGTTCGTAATTTTGTGACGACATGTAAAGAGGAGAAGAGGGAGTGGAGCTTGATAGTGTGACGTCACACTTTTTCATTTTAAAAAAAAGTAATGCTAGAAACTGAATTTTAGCCGTTTTTTTGTGTTTTAGAAAACTGTTGTTTGAGAAAGAAATCGATATTTAAAAAAAAACATTAAACTGCAATTTTGAGAGGGGGAGGTTGTAGGATGATTTATAACGCCATTTTAACTAACTTAAGTGCAACGGGTTTGGATTAGTGTGAACATGTGTGACGGTAGGGAGGGGGGGGGGGGTAAAAGTCGTCAAAAAAGCATAACTTCATTAATGGATGACCTCCAACTTTTATTTTAATTACAGAGGCTTTTTTATGCTCAGTAGGGTCACATGCTGGTAAATGGAGAGTGTAGAGGGTGACGCCAAAACAAACAAAAAATACCCTGCATTAAATGAAAACAATGAAAAAGACATTTTTATAAAGTTTAATCATGTATACGCTATTTTAAATAAATGGAGCTTAACATATTCAACATAACATTAATTTAAAAATTAAATATTGCAATGTATAATATTAAAATAACAACACTATTTTGCATAACCAATTAGATATTGGACATACTGGTCAACACCGTTGCATAGCTAATTAGATATTGGACAGTAAAATATTAAGGCTGCAATGGTTTTTAACAGTGATAATGCTAGCTGTCCCAGATGTACAAGGTTCTAGTTGCTGACTGATCGTACATACTGGTCAACACCGTTGACATTCCGTCTGTCCTCATTAAGTCTAAACACCATCTCATAAGGATAAGGTAGTTTAGGCTTGGAGAGATCATCAAGCTGTTGCATCTGTTGTTTGAAAAAACAAAATTTGTATTAATTTAAATGAAAAAATCAAAAGTAAAAAAGAATATCTCTTGGTTGTTTGAAAAACAAAATTTGTATTAATTTAAATGAAAAAATCTAAAGTAAAAAAGAATACATATTAATATCAGGTAGGGCAGATGAAGTAGAGCTTATTAAGAGGTTACTTGGCAAACTCTATGCCCATTTTTCTTTTACACATATACTCATTACAAAAAAAGTTAAATTTTAAAATTCATATGGACCTGGGTACATTAACTTAACTGGACATGTAGTTGGGTCAAAAAGCTTTTTTAGCAAAATGGTAACAGCCAAGTCTGTGCAACTTTTATGTTCAATATGTAAGAAATTATGGAATATGTAAAACTAAAATGAAAAAGGTACGGGCTAACCACCACCTACCTCCTATGTGCTATCCACCACCTACCTCCTATGTGCTAGCCACAACCTACCCCCTATGTGCTAGCCACCACCTACCTCCTCTTTAGTTAAAGACCAGCCATTTCCTGCACCAAGGTTATCATCCAGCTGTTTCAGATTTCTCGCTCCAATGATCACAGAGGACACAACGTCTTTTTGCAGCAGCCAGCGAATGGCTACCTGAGCTAGACTTCGATCTGATTCGAAAAAAAAAATTGTTAGTCATATTTTAAATAAATAGATTCCTGTATTATATTTTTCCCCAAATAGTCACAAAAAAGTTAAAGTCGTTTAGCATTGGTTAGCTTTATTTTTTCGTATTTACTCAATTTGAATTATTATTATTCATATTACGTTAAATCAACAACAACCCATTTTTTGAAAAATGGATGGTCAAAAAACTGGAAGCTTACCATATTTTTTGGCGATGGCTTCTCCGGCTTCTATCAAATCAAAAGTTTTATCATCAAAGCTGGTCCAGGCAGGGGCTGCCTGGCTTGCCCTGGATTCATTTTCCGCCACCCAGGCCATACGACCCTCCTCCGGTTTCTGTCCTCGTTTTACTTTTCCAGTCAACAAACCGCTATTTTTAAATTTTTAAAATTTTAATTAACTGCCTTGTTAGTTTAAATTTGTAAGTTAATTTGAAGAAATAAACAAATACAAGGCAACAAACTTACATTTTTTGTAATGTAAACTGTATAAATTGTTATAGTTATTTTCTATTGTTATTTTGTTGTTTCCAACGAAAAATGTTCTTGATAAAACAATATAAAAGTGCTTATATTTTTTTTAGTTAAAATATGTTATAATACAGGGAAGGTGTGGCCTAGCTGTAGAGCACTAGACTGCTAACCCAAGAATCTTGAGTTTGAGTTCAAATCAGTAGTGCACCCCTGAGTGCACCAAACTGATGAGTACCTAACCCATGTTAGGGAAACAAAGGCGACTGGTTATAGTATTAACCACAATATCCTCTTGTCATTGAAACTGATTAACTCTACTTCATCTGCCCCATGTGTTTTGGGCACAAACAGGAAAAGATGATGAAGTTAAAATACAATTTTAAAACGCACATGTAAGCCCAATATAAAACACCAAATTATCGCCTAGGATCACCACTCTCCCAGTATAAAACACCAAATTATGACCTAGGATCACCACTCACCCAATATAAAACACCAAATTATGACCTAGGATCACCACTCACCCAATATAAAACACCAAGTTATGACCTAGGATCACCACTCACCCTTTAAGTGGGCTCCATGGTAAGACTCCAATACCTGATGTTTTACACACCTGGAATGGCTCCAGTTCTGATTCTCTGCTGACGAGATTGTATTGTTGCTGAAAATAGAAGTCAATATAGAATGTATTTATAACACAATTATTATCAAAACACAAATATTATCCAAACAAATTTGTATGCATCAAAATTACTATATAAACAAACTTTTTAGCTAATTAAATTATAATAGTTCTGAAAGAAGACCTAATAATATACCAATTCAAAAGGTACAGTTTTAATCTTTATGAAATGATTATCATTTATTTAACTTTCCTTAAAAAAGATGTCTGAGCGTTCATTAAAAAAAATCATAATAAGTTATAGGTTTTAATTTTATTTTTTACATCTAAAAATATTTGTAACTTATTTAGGTATTATCTACGACTTTAAATTAAAATTAACAATGTAAACGTTACCTGTAAACTGATAATAGGATTTAATCCCAGCTTCTCATTAAGGTCAACGAGCTTTTGTAATTGCCAACCTGTGAAGTTGCTGACACCAATATAGCGAACTTTACCACAGCGAACCAAGTCATCAAAAGTGCGAAAAGTTTCTTCAAGAGGAGTACCATCATCATAAACGTGTGCCTACAAAAAAAATATGTTAAGCTATTTCTGAAAAAATAATTATTAAATATTTAAGAAAAAAATATTATACTAAAATATCTAGACTCATTTAAAGTAAGCCTATTTAAAAAAAATTGTATCATAATACCAACATTATTTACATTTATTTAAATCTTACTCAGTAATAAATGGAAAGCTAAAATAATTACAGGGACGGAGTGGTCTAGTGGTAGAGAGCTGGACTGCTAACCCGTAAGTCTCGAGTTCGAATCCGGGTTCAAGTCAGTAGACCGTCCCTGAGTCCACCCAACTCTGATGGGTACCTAACTCACGTTAGGGAAAGTAAAGGCGGCTGGGCATAGTGCTGACCACACTATCTCTTCATATGCCGAGGTTACAGAAACAAGTGAACTCTAATTCACTTGCCCCATAGACCGTCAGGTTTGAAAGGGAAAACTTTACTTTAAAATAATTTTACCTGGTAAAGATCTACATAGTCAGTACGCAACCTCTTAAGACTTTTCTCAATACTCTCTGTGATATGACGTCTACTAAGGCCAACATTGTTGACATTGTTTTCTGTTCCCATGTTTGCACGGACCTTGGTTGCTATGACAAAGTTATCTCTGGTTTGCCTGGGTTCATGGACAAAAGTTGCTGATTATTTGTATTGTTGTGATACCTCAAGAAGTTACTAAATTGTAGTAATTTTTTTTATTTTCCAACAGCAGATACAATGTTATTATGTTAGTAAAAATTAACTTTTTTTCTAGTTTATCATGCTCTACTACTGCAAATTTTTAAAACTCCACAAAACAATCTTATAACGACAAAAATTTTGTCTCTGCAGAAATATGTTTAAAGGTATTATGACTAATGTACAATATATTACTAAAAACCTTTTTATTTTGAATATCTTTTTTACTTTAACCGCACACTCAATCATTTAAAGAATTATTAAAATGCCAGATATGGTCTGAAAAATGTTTCATTATTAAAACACCCTGTCTAAAACATTTTTAACAAATTGTTTCGATCCCGCAAATTAGTTCAACATTATCCTTTTTCAAAATCTGCATAACATAAAAAAATGTTAGTTCAATAAGAAAAAGGTTGTATTAAATATAATCATAGCTCAAAAGATTTATTTTTTTACTTTTCCAGCCATTTTCCAACAATCTCCTCAGATTTCCCTCGCCCATAAACATTAGCAGTGTCGATAAAGTTTCCACCCCACTCAACAAAACGATCCAAAATTTGAAAAGACAATTCTTCATCACACTGTCCAGGTGTGCCCCACTGTAAAAAGAACAAAAAAAAACATTATTTAAACAATTAAAATCAAATACTTCCTAGATAAGACTGTGTGTATTAACAAAAAACTTAAATGCTACTTTGGTTTTGCAAATAATAACACCAAACTTAGAAGAGTCTTGGTTAAGCTGCTTCAAAATTTAAAAAGATAATTTTAATCTAACTTGTACATTTCTATTCAATAATCAAAATTTTGAAACAAAAGCATTGTTAAGCTTCAGGCTTTTTCTTCTTTCTTAATTCTTAATTTTTGAAGGGTTTTCCTCAAACACAATTAAGTATTATGCATCAACTTGTTATGTGCCATTTAACAGTTGAGTCCAATTTCAGCCTGCTTTTATTTTTGGATTTGCTTCCGTTGACTTCGCCCAACTAAGAATAAACTACAAGGCAACAGTTGCTTGATTTCGGAGTTGTCTCTTCTAGAAGAGTTGCTGTTCCCAGCTAGCGAGCCTCATCTGCCTGGAGGTTCTATCTTGAGAATTTAGGGTTTAGCAGCCATGAGCTTTACCAACTTGAGAAGACAATCCTTTCAGGCTTTAAAATTTTAAATAGATAAAATCAGCATCATCTATAACTTTTCTAACTCAGTACTGTGAAGAGGTATTGTGATTCTGCTTCTGGCTTAACAGGATATTTGGCTCAGATAGGAGTTGTACTTAAAATGTAAAGGCTATACATTGGTGACTTTATAACTAATAACAGCCAATGTTATTTCTTTTTACTTACAGCTGATTCACCAAAGGTCATTGCCCCTAAGCACAAGTTAGAGACTTTGAGACCTGATCTACCAACATAAACATAGGGAAGTTTCTGTTCTGCTGATACTGGGGAAGCCATGGCTCACTCTTAGTTTTCCTGATTTTAGAAAAAAAAATAAGACAACTAATTAAACATCTATTATTCTAATATTAGATCTAAGTTCATAATCAGATTTAGGCCTATTAGTAGTAATTATGGCATTTTAAAAAAATTAAGTAGGCCTATTCTTAAAAAAAATTAAATGCTATTAGGGCCTAAATAGACCTAAGTAATTAAATAGGCCTGCAGCCTAAATCTAGGCCTAATTTTTAAATTCATTTTATAAATATATTTTTCTGCATACAATATATATAGGGGGATGGAGTGGTCTAGCGGTAGAGAGCTGGACTGTTAACTTCACTGTAAGTCTCGAGTTAGAATCTGGGTTCAAGTCAGTAGACCATCCCTGAGTCCGCCCAACTCTGATGGGTATCTAACTCACATTAGGGAAAGTAAAGGCGGCTGGGCATAGTGCTGACCACACTATCTCTTCATATGCCGAGGTCACAGAAATTCGTGAACTCTACTTCACTTGTCCTATAGACCGTCAAGTTTGAAAGGGAACTTAACTTTTTTACAATATATAGGCCTAATATTTATTATTTAGGTCTAATACAACAGCTAACATATTAAAAATAAATAGTACAGGCAAGATCACATCATTTTAATAGTAGGCCACTTGTAGCCAATAGGGCATTAGGTCTCACATTATATAGGCTACTATTATTTATGATAGTTAAGCTTGTAAAAATTTTTTTTGGCCTAGGCCTACCATTAATAAATAATAAATATTAGGCCCTAAATGTGATTAGTACTAATTACTAATTTAGTAATTAGGCCTAGTGCCTTGGCCATAGCCTTAGTTAAAAAGAATTTATTTAAGTCTTTGACTAGATCTAAATATCTATTTAGTATTTATTTAGCACTTTCTATGAATTCTATGTGATTAGGCATATAGTTATAGACAGTACATGTAGTATTTATTATTTAATTTATAAGTTACAGCACATATCTAATCTAGATCTAGTTTTAAACTTTAAACAAATTATTTATTTATTATTTAATACTGGCTTAAATAATGTAGTAAATAAAATATATCACTTGGCAATAGCTCGTTACGTTTACCTGCCTGTGGTTGAACACAAAAAATCAGGCCGATAAATAATTTATTTTATAATTAGATATAGATCTATATACTGATATAGGTCTAAAAAAATCTCAAATGTTCGATTTGGACCTCGTATTCGTCTAAAAGTAGGCCTAGTTCGTGTAATATTTATAAAGATAGTTTATACTTACGAATATCAATTTCTTTCCCTAAAAAATGAGATGGCTGTAGATCTAGATTATTTTGTGTAAAAACAATACCAGTAGTCCTACTTGCCGAAATGGCTTACAAGAATAATAGTTAATTTAATAAAATAAAATAGGAGTTCAAAAGCACTAGCAGTGTGCTAAACGTGCCGAAAGAACTTGCAGAATTAGGACAACTGATAACGCTTACAAAAGAAAAAAAGATAGATCTAGTCACAATTACTCAGCACATTTAAATTTGACCTACACCAGGCTCGTCAATCCCCGCATGCACGCCCTACCCCCCCACGCCACGACTATTGATGCTTATTGCTACATTCATGGTTTCTTCCAAACTTTTTTCTCCTGGGGGGGGGGGGAGGGGAGAAGATTATATTTTCGGGGGTGCCGAACACAATTGCTGGGGGAGGTAGACTTTTTCCAGGAGGGGGGGGGGAGCTATCCGCAAAACAAGGAGGAAGACAATAAATCAATTTATTTAATGCTTCCTGTTAGAAACCATCAACAATAGATCATGGGCCACTATATTCACAAATTACATTAACATTAAAACCTTGAGAGCAAATTCACTATCAACTTTGGTAGAGTTGTTGAAGGCCAGAGTCCTGAATTTTTCTTTATATAATTTGGCTAAGATGGAAGAAACATCCTTGTACCTCACACTCTGGAAATACCCTTTCAAAACTTTTTATCAAAGCCATTTCAAAGTCAATCATAATAGAAATTGGCTGCAGGTTTGTGTTTAAGACCGTTAGCTGCTGTAAAAGTGCTGCTGTGTTTTGTTTTGAAGTAAGGCATAAATACATGGAACAGTCCGTCCATGACCAATGCATGGACTGTGTACAGTTGTGAAAACAATGCAGGAGCTGTTTTGAATGTACCATCCATAAACCAGTGCTTTCTAAGGTGTTGTCCGTGCCCGATCTTTGATCAAATACAACTAAGGTCACTCCTTGATTTCGAATAGCAATTTTTAAGGTAGAAACTATTTTCTTAGTCGTAAAAAAATTAATTAATTTAATGTAATTTTTTTTAATTTTTCGGTTCACATCATCGTTATTATTTCTTTATATAAACCTCAGCCCGGGGTTATTATCCGGGGGGTTTATGTCGCGGGGTTTTTTTTATCCAGGGGGTTTATGTCGGGGGGTTTATGTCCAGGGGGGCTTTGACTGGAAGCCCGCGAAAATTATTTTTTTAACTATAAAACTTTTTTATGGTCGGCTATGGGCCCCTAAATGGCGTGCCCCCCCCCCCCCACCGCATTGCGGGGTCTGGCGGCACTGTAGTTCCGCCCCTGGTACCAGCCAAAGCTTTACATTTCCGAAACTTTTTTTACCTGATTTGAACTTCTAGTGTTGCTTTCTCTAACGTCCGCGCACAATGCATAAATATTTTCCGCGCCAAATCCCTGACGAAATCTTCAGGTTTCTATAACCGCCTGCTTTAGCTTATCCCTGACCAGGCGTCGAGAATAAATTAAGTAAAGCAGGTGTATGTGCATCTTCGCATGCAAGCGCGCGCTTGTACATGTGTTGGTGTATGTACATCTGCTTGTGCAGGTGTATGTACATCTTCACATGCAAGCGCGCGCTTGTACATGTGTTGGTGTATGTACATCTGCTTGTGCAGGTGTATGTACATCTTCACATGCAAGCGCGCGCTTGTACATGTGTTGGTGTATGTACATCTGCTTGTGCAGGTGTATGTACATCTTCACATGCAAGCGCGCGCTTGTACATGTGTTGGTGTATGTACATCTGCTTGTGCAGGTGTATGTGCATCTTCACATACAAGCGCGCGCTGTACATGTGTTGGTGTATGTACATCTGCTTTGGCTGGGCAGGTGGATTTTTAAACAGACTCTAGCCACAATATTATTTCTACCTTTCCAAAGGACCTTGGATCACATTGGTTGTTTTTTTTTTCTTGTATATAGAGAAAGTATTGTTATCGTGCACAAAAATCACTTGAAATTTTAACAATTTTTACCGTATTACACCTCAGTCCTTCTTCACATCCGAAGTATAGAGGACTTATTTTAATCGGGCAAAAATTATCAATCCAGATTTATCAAAATGAAAAGGTTTTAAATCCAGTCTAAAAACTGGACTTTGCAATTCTGTCCGTATGTCTGTGTGTCTGTGTGTGTGTGTCTGTGTGTAAACACGATTACTTGAGTACCGAGTTCCCATCCCCTGTTGTTATAAGAATATTCGAAAAAGTTTAGGGGAGATCACTCCCGGTTTATTTTTTCATATACTATACACAAACTCACACACCATACACACGAACACTTACGTACACACACACAGTGCGGTCGTACCGCCAGCCTACCAACGAGCTTGAATCCGGGTGCAGTAGAACACATGCAGAAATATCTTCAAGTTAATAGTCTATATAGATCTTTGATGTATATAGGGTACCAACTATAAAAAAATTATTATGGTCGGCTATGGGCCCCTAAATAGCGGCACTGTAGTTCCGCCCCTGATACAGCCTGATATTATAACAGCTTACAGATTAACTTTAAAGACACTCATACTTTAAATAGATAAGACAGTGGCGTCGTTAGGTCGGGTGTCACCCGGTGCGGCACCTCACGGCCCCCCCTTTTTTGTCTCTGTAAATTTTGCAGTTGGTTTCACCCTCCCCCCCCCCCCCCCCGTAAAAGCTTTAAAATGTTCACATGTAATCTAATGATGATATCTAAAATCGGTTGTTAATACAGCTGGGTATAGCATTATTTTCTTTATGGTTAGCTGGTTACATCATGGTGTCACCACCCCCACTCCCCTTTCCTCTCTTGTTGTGATCTTCATTATGTACTTAAAATAATTTTTAACTCTAATTAACCATTCATTAAACTGGCAAAAAAATGTATTCTATATATCTTGCAATTTTTTTGTCACCCCCCCCCCCCCCTAAATGGTGTCACCCGGTGCGGTACGCACCCCCACCCGCCACCGTCTCGCGACGCCTCTGAGATAAGATATTATAGTTGTTTTATCCACTCCACCCCCTGTAATTTGCAATGCTCACTCAAATTTCAGACTACTTGTCCTGGAAGTAGACTGATAGTATAATATTTATCAGGCTACAAGTATAATGTTATCAGCCAGTCGTTATAGTTATTGAAATGATAATCTACCATGCCAGCTAGTAGGTCTAGGTTTGTGTTTTAAAAAATATGTACACTTCATTACTCAGACATTGTTTCGGTTTGAACGTTAAAGTATAGACATCTGAAAGGGCAATTTGTGAACGGAGTTTCTTCCAGGCATCTCTTCAGGGGGGGGGGGAGGCGGACACCCCCCATGAACGAAATGGAATTTATATAAAAAGCATATACTTTTACCAGTGCCCACCCCCCCCCCCCCCGGAAAATATCCCCCCCCACCCAATATCAGTGCCCCCCCCCCCCCCCCCCTGGAGAAAAAGTCTATAAATAGTTGAGCAACAGCGCAACAAAGACCAGCCCTTCATGAACAGCATCACAAAGATGTTCTTGATCTTAGAAAGGTAGACGAATAAAACCGCAACGAAAACCTGACCATCATCAACAACAGCATCACATCTTCTAGATCGCAACAATTTCTACTAGGCCCCCAACCCTATAAAGCACTATGTAAAAAAATAAACCTCCCGAATTCTTTTGTCACACTCTCCTGCCCCCAATTACTTTGTATTTTCAATTGATACATTTGAGTAAATTTTACAATTTTTCGAGTTGGTGTCACCCCTCAAATGGTGTCACCCGTTGTAGACCGCACCCCCAACCCCTCGCCTTGTGACGCCACTAGAGCAGAAGTGGGGATAAAGTTACAAGATACACTTTAGCTGCATTTTAATTTGATTATAAACTTAATAAGTTATTTTAAATTTCAGTTACGTCTTTTCTTTTATTTTTCTAAATTGTAAAAAAAAAATGTTCCAAATGTCAGCTCGAACTAGATCTAGATAAAATTGACGGTATTGTATAATGATTTGCGGCTGATTCGACATTTTTTTTTTTACATTGGCAACCATCTAGTTGTATAAATTAAATTTATACGGTTATGCCCCTTTGAGAGTTGAAAACAATTTAGTTATCGATATAGCTGTAGTTGTTTTTTAATTTAAAGAAACAGCAGTTAGAGGGAGAAGTAGCTGAACTGTGGCTTTATTTTAAGATGTTGGCCTACGTTTTGACTTTTAGGACGATGGTTAAAAGTGGGGTTAAAAATGAACCCAAAACTTATGACTTCATATAGATTATTTATAGATATACGTCCAGCTGGCAACTAAACAGCTTGATGCAGAGTTTGGATACATGACCAGGTAACTGTTGCATTTTGCTGCCCAATCGGGAATAACAAATAACAGAACCAGCATCATGTCCTGGACACAAATGTGAATAGATGATGATGAACAACAGACGAAAGAAATCGAAAGAAAATTTCAACACTAACACTAAAGCAATCAACAAAATATTTTAATGTTTAAACATGACAATATTGGTGCACTAATTCTGGGTCTATGGGCTTCAAGTACAAAAAAAGATTTGCTGAAAAAATAAAATTTAAAACAATCATCTATTAAATAAAATCTTCAAAATTACACATTCACAAATTCTGTTCTCTCTTTGTCCAGATGTTCAGAAATACTGAAACCATTTTAGTTATTATGGCTAAATATTCAACTGGACAAAATACTTCTACATAACATTAAAGACAATCCCATTCTTAATAACCTCTTGAGAAATCAGAAGGAAATGGAAATTAAATTTTATGAGTAGGCCTACTGTACAAAATACAGATAATATAAATAAACAATATTTGATTCACAAACACCAGCTAATTTATTAGTATCTTTACTTAGACAACATGACATGTATAATATTAAATGACTATTAAAGCAAAAGATTGACTGGAATCAAAATATCATTAGCATCAGACAGTGGAATACATACACATCACAATGTACTTGATTTTACCCCTCATCAAAATATAAAGAAGAAAAAATGCCTGCAGTTGTCTCCCAGTCAGAATAACATTCAATCAATTAAAACAGTCAATCACACAATTTTAAAATAAGAGGCTCAGCCAAAATCAAAAGTACCTTTTTTAAGCAATTGTTCAAATGTAAAACAAAAAGTTTTTTCCGAGGAGCTATTTTTCCTCATAAATAGTTTAAAGTTAAAGATATTACAAAGAAATATATTTTAAGCGAGGGCTAAATGTCTAAATATAACTTCAAATTATATTTGTAAATCATCATAATAAATATCAATTATCAAGTGATTTTTAAAGGACATTCACTATAATTTCAAATAATAATAGTAAATCATAATAATAAATATCAAGTGATTTTTAAAGGACATTCACTATTAAAAAAAAATTTTTTTTTTGCTCCAAATGGTCTTACTAATAAAATATAAATTTGAATGATTGTTTTTTTTTTTTAGGATTTCCACTTACCTAGTTATGTGCAAAAACTATTTTCATAATAAAGAAAACATTATGGGGAGATAATGAAAACAATTAAAGGAAAGGTAAATATCATTTAAATTATCTAACATTCATTCATTTCTTTTAAAATACATTGCACCTTGATGAAACACATACTGTTAAGTTTAATATTAATATGCTTCTAAAAACCAATGCAGCGTCTAAAACATGTAAGCAAAAATGAGTGCATCAAACTTAGTTTTTATTATTCAATTGCTCAGAAAGTTTCAGAAACACACACAGTTTCATCCATAACTCTTATATATCATAAGGTAAAAATGTAACACAGTATGATGAAAAACAAAGAGCAGGTAATATAATGACCAAGATGGAGAACTCAGTGCTGCAACACTGGTGCAGAGGCCCCAGAATGGAGGTACACAAGACATCTTTTCTTCACAAAACTTCTTGTTTTATTTAATTTTTGTTTCTCTTCAATGGTCCATACAGAAAAGTCAGCACATTTAAAAAATGTTTGTTTAGGATTTGCGGTATTCTATCCTTTCAACTTTGACCTCGTCATCAATAAGTTTGTAGATGTATGAGACAACTGTTGACTGTTGGATATCCAAGATGACAAATGAAGGAATAACATTACTGTGGAGGGAAAGATAAAAACATGTGAGACTGTCTAACATAAGTAACCATAATAAAAAAAAAATTCTGAATACATGAATTTCTGAGGGGAATGGGATCAGCAATTCTTTTTTTTTTGGAGATTTTTTTTTACGTTTGGTCATATATTTTATTTTATTTTTTAAAAGAAAAAAAAATGTTTTTTCAAATTATTCATGCTCCAAAACGAAAAATAAATTCCATGAGTTTTCCAGGAGATTTCCAAGAGTTTTAAATAAATTCCAGGAGATTTTAAAACTAAGAAAGTATTAGTTCATGTGATGGAAAATGTTATAGACATAGACCCGATAAGCTTAAATTTAAATTAGAAGGTACTAATTATTTTAAGCGGTGGTGTTTTAGAACTACTTAAAAAAACATTGGAGCCAAAAACTACCACTTTGATAATAACCAAACCACATCGTTATTTATGCTTTTAGCCTTATTGTAATAGTAGAGTCAGTAGATTGCTTTTACAATTTGTCGACGGTATCCCCCCCCCCCAAGAAACGGTACAAAGGTCACAGTGAGTTCATTTGAGGTCAGAATATAATAGGCCTAGAGCGCACGTAAAAGCAGGAAAAACACTGCTATTTAAGATTGGCCATGAAATCATTTTTATTTTTCCTAAAACAAGCTGTATCAAACATGAACCGGGCTTGGCTGATGTATTTGTCCTTCAAAGAACGGCAATATTTTATAATAGATCTACTTTTTAACAATTTTTTGAAAAAATATTTAACTGAAAACATCAGTGGAAAATTCAGAATTTCGAGAGATTTTAAAAAATTTCATTAGATTTCAAGATTTTTACAATTTCATAAGGATTTCAGGAGGTTTTTACAATTTTTAAAATTTCATGAGTTTTTCAGGATCTTCTGGAATTTCAGAAGGCTGCATGAACCCTGTAAATATGTTTTATATATATATTAACATTAGAATTTCATGGGATGGCATGGTCAGGTGGTAGAGTGCACAACTTCTAATCCAGAAGTCTAGAGTTCAGTTCCTGGACTAGCTGTTATGTGAAATATTTGCACACAAAAAAACTCTATAAACTACAAAATTAACCCAATGGAACTACATTAAGGAAATACAATGAAAATGTCCACTCTAGTGATATCATGACCTAGATTTACTATAAATAAAAACCTGGTTTCAAAAAAAAAATTGAAAAAAATATTGAACACCGGGAGAACTGTTACAGCATGGCGGGCAAGCCTATACGACCGCTGTGATCATTTTTACCGTATGAAAGAGTTTAAGAGTTAATAAAAAAAAGCTCACCTATCTAAAGCATAGTAAGACCCTGTAGCTGATCCAGGGTTGAGAAAGAATTTCCCCTCATGCTCTAAGGCCTGAAACTTGTGTGTCTGGCCAGAGATCAAAATATCAACATCCAGCTGTCGCTGGACCATAGCCAGGCTCTCAATATCCCCCCAGGGTACAACTTGATGACCGTGACAGAGACCTATCCGAAACTGTCCCACTGTGACTACTTTTTGTTCTGGATAGTTCATGTTCTAAAATAAAGATGAATAGTGCAAGTTAAGTCATTTGCTTAAATTCACCTTATTTTAAAAAAGCAGTAATAATTTATTTCTGTTCTAGTTCTACTATCTGGATAGTTCTAGTTCTAAAACATAGTTTAAAAAATAGTAAGTGGAGTCTTTTGACCAGTTTCACTTTATTTTAAAATAGTATTAGAAATTTAAATTAGGACCTTTATTTGTTGCTAATTACCTCACTAAATAATTTACTATAATAAAATATAAAATTAAAACAAAGAATGTAGGTAAAAATAATTTAACAGGAAGACTTTTTCAAATCAGAAAATTTCCAAACTTTTCATTTTCTAGAAACAGTGATGGAAATATCTACTATTTTATTAGAGATACAATTGTCTCCCCTTAAATAGGATGTTCTTTTTACTTTCTCACATACAGAGTATAGAGGAAGTGTTGTCATTGAGCAAACATCAACATTCGTTAAAGTCTTGACATTTTTTAACTTCCTAAGTAAAAAAAACCTAGTTTTGCAATCTAAAATTAATTAGTGAAGAATAAAGGCTGGAGTCAGCACAATTTCACTGACTCTTCATCCTAGGAACCAAAAATCCACTCAGCGCTATATCTCTACAGCAGACCTAAATTATAATAAGTATGAGCGCAACCTTAATGACATTAAAATAAGTTAAGAAAAGCTAGTTGTAATATTGTTTGACCTTAAATTAGAACATGCTACAAACCTCATCAAAATCACCCCGCACAACATGGACATCACTTGCAAGTGTCTTCAAATAATCAAACGACTCTTTTGTACACAGGTTTCCAGTGCAAAGGATGTGCTGTATTTTGCCAGGTACTAACAGTTTTTTAAACCGGGCGGGCAGTGAATTGCATCTGTGTGGTATATGTAAATCACCAAGTACAAGGACCAACTGAAAAAAAAGTTAAAATATTTTAGTTAGACACGAGTTATAATTGATAAATTTATTATAATTCTATAGTATTAAAAAATCCTTGACATACCGGTACCTCAATAGATTTGTGATAAAGCCTATATGCCCTAATTTTTATACTGCAAATTTATTATAATCAGGGTTCATGCTCAAAAGTTCAAATAAAATTCCAGGAGTTTTCCAGGACTTTTCCAGGAGTTTAAAAAAAATTCAAGGAGATTTTAAAAACAAAAAAGAAACCCAATTTGTACATTAAAAAAAAAAAAGCGTACTTAATAATACATTTAATTAGCTAAGCCAATGCAAAAATTTAATTTCAGTAAAAATAAAACAATATATTAGTTACATATTAGGATAGAGGCTATCAATCTGACTACAGACCAGTTTGAATTTTCAAAATCTGACCATAAACAAAAAAGTTATGATTTTTTTTTGTCATTAAAAAAAATTGCAGATTTCTATAGCCTATAGAATTATAATAATTCTATAGACTATAGAATTTGTTGAAATAATACTATAATAGTATTATTTCAACATATTACATCTTATTTTTGATTATCGTTAACTTCTTACCAGACAACATGTGGTATTTTTTACAAACTAAGCGTACACCTATCAGTTATACAATAATAGGCCTACATAGTTACATAGATATTTATCATTATAGAAGAGGTGATCTCTAGATTAACAAGACTGATAAGCTTAATAATAAGGTTCTTTATGCAAAAACGCCTTTTTAAATTAGAATTCATTATTTCACAATTTTCTTTAATAAAAGGTTCAACAATTATTTAGTCGCTGCATTGAAATAATGAGAATAAGCAAAGGTAAAATAGCAATATTGGTGAGGATCAGTGTGTATCAAGCGTATCGTTCTGTGACTTGTCATACAAGATGTCTCGGATTCAGATCCATCAAATACCTGCTTGTCATAAACAAATCTCTCAAATTATTTTTATCACTGTTCACAAAAGGGTGACTTAACACGTTACTTTTTTTTTTCTAACAGTAATTTCACTTATATAATTGTCTTTTGTTTCTTCTCATTTGTGACGTTATCAAGCACACATTCTTGAGAGAAAAATGTGTCCTAGATTTTTGTGGCTTTTTACTCTAGAAATTGCGATGGAAACTACTAGATCTAGATTGATCTCTACTACGCTAGCTTCTCAATACCAAGTTAACACCAACAGTGACTGTGGACTTTTACAGAGACTTACACTTATCATACCATATGATATAGGCCATTTTTAGATGGAAGAAGATGCACGTTTGCATAGTGCTACAATTACTTGGTTTTTCTTGTCATCTAAATTTTCAATTGTTTAGGCATATGTGTTGTCTTTTAAATGTATGCTTTACTTTTGGACTAGAACTATTTACTAGATATACTATAACTATACTACGAACACTCAACACCTGACGACCAGCCTGAAGCACAGCTGCTCGACCATACATGGTACAGATAGTTTATTAAGATGAATAAGGCTAAAAGGATAATTTGATCCCATTGCGCAGCTATAAAAGGATTATTTGAGCCCATTGCACAGAGTATTTAATTCGAGCCCAGTTCATTGAATTTTGCATCTTCTGCCGGCCAGATTAACACAGGGGGAAAGAAGCTTCTTCAGGGCAGTCACTTCATCATATCAATATATGAATGTCGTATTATTCATCAATCAAGTTATTTGTGTAGCTAGCTAGATCTAGTAGCTAAATCTACTACTACTGATCTAGCATAGTAAAAAAATAATTAAATGAATAAATATGAATGGGTAGGTCCTAGGCCAAAAAAAAAGTAAATAGGGCCTACTGAATAATGATGTCTGGTAGTCAACGTGAGTCTGTATTGAAGTCACTGTGAGTCTGTATGTTGACTGTCACAGTCAGTGAGTTAGACAAGTTACTTAGTTTGAACTTTGAAGTTAAGACTAAGAGTGAAGCCAGTGATTGAGTGAAGGAGTCAATCTCAGAATCTCAGATTGAATCTGTGTCGTGTTGACACGCCCACTGTTTGTTTAACAATAATCGTACGTTAATAATGTATAGACGCAAGAATTTATTATGTAGAAAAATCTAGATCTATTAAACAAGGTTGAACACAGTTCCGAATTTTACTATGGCTATTTACCATTGTTATTTGAATTTTTAGAAAAGATAACTGTCTGATTCAAAGGGAGTAAAATTATCAGAATGTTTTTACTCTATGAAAACCGGAAGCCGGAAATAATAAACAATCACATGCACATAGCTAATTTTATAACGTCAAATTTGGTTGGCTTAGAAAACGTTACATTAAATAGATCTTAGGACTGTAGTGTATATTTGAGTGGGTAACTTAAGTATACTATTATTACTAATTAGATCTATAAAGGTTTTAAAGATTTAAAGGGTCATCAATAAATGACGTCACGATTTTTTGGACGATTTTTACCTGCCAGCCGTCGGTGATCGTTGCAAAAACCAGAACCACCCACCCTCTCTCTCTCACACACACAAACACCACTGCTTACGCCCCCCCCCCCCCCTTTCAAAATATAGCAGTTCAATAATATTTTGTGAAACAACAATTTCTTACTAACATTTTGACTGAGCAATTTCTGTAACCATATTTTTTTCTCTCCCTAAAATACAAAAATAACGGCTAAATTCATTTTCTAACTGGGGGTCGTCCATAAATGACGTCACACTCGCAAGGGGGGGGGGGGGGTCGTAATTTTGTGACGGTGTGTGGGGAGGGGGGGGGGGGAGTCTGATGGCGGGACGTCACACTTTTGCATTTTAAAACAGCAATGTTAGAAAACTAATTTTAGCCGTTATTTCGCGTTTTAGAAAACTGTTTTAATATAGATTGTAATAGGAATTTATTAAAATACTCTATTTTGACAGAGTTCAGACAAGATTTTAGAAAAATATCAATGTTTTAAGAAACATTCAACTGCAATGTTGAGGGGGGGGGGGGTGTAGACTGAGGTGTGACATCATTTTAGGGGGGGGGTCTGGCTTTTTGTGACGATGTGTGACGGAGGGGAGGGGGGAGGTAAATATCGTCAAAAAAGCGTCACGTCATTTATGGATTTAAAAAATGCAAAAGGTTGACTTCGCCATCCATTCTACATTTCCCAACATGCTGTTTGGGGGGAGAAGGGGGGGGGGGGAAGAGGGGATGTATTGTGATGGCAAGCCAAACGAAAACTGTTTTCTAATAAGAATAGGCCAATATTAGAGATAACCTGTCAAAAATTACAATTTTTTTTACATTGAAATGATAAGATTTGTGTTTGTATTTTTTCTAGTTTCTTATCACAGGCATTGTCAGTCAATGGGTTACTTTAATATTTGATTTTAACAAATGGTTGCTATTCACCCGACCCCTCCCCCCCTGTTCGGAAAGGGGTGGTGGCATTGCTCTTCGAATATTTCAAAAACTTCAAATAACTATGATTCAGTAGTGCAGTCTAAATGACCTTTAAATATTTATGTTCTTCTTGCCTACAGTGTTTCTTCCAGACTTTTTTCTCCGGGGGGGGGGGGGGGGGGGCACTTGAAATAGTTTACTATATAAAATTCATTTCGTTCAGGGGGGGGGGGGCGGTAGACTTTTTTCGGGGGGGGGGGGGCTCCGCCCGAAGAGATGCCTGGAAGAAACTCTGCCTCTAAAGGCGCCGTTCGATGCGCCCGCACTATCCCCCCCCCCCCCCCACTCCCCAGCTACAGCGCCAGCTGAAATAAAATTGTAGTGTTAGCGTAATCTCTCTTCAACCCTCCCCCCATATAGATCTATTACACTTTTTTTTCTGTACGTTTGAGCGGTGTGGTCTACCCTAGAGAAATGGTAAGGGATTAGAAATCTAGATCTAGATCTAAATAAATTTTAGATGTAGGCCTAAGTGTTCCAGTTGCATTTTTAATTATCCCCTTTTAAACATGGCGGCCTCCATGGAATCAAATGTCTCTTACAAGTGTTTTAAAACAGATGTCTTGTTTTAAACTACGCCTACTTGATTTAGTGCTAGATCTATACTAATGCAGCTTTACCTTAATTTTGAATCAATTTTTACATTAAATGTAAAATGTCCTCTTTGAAATGCACTATTCCTGGTGTCAGTCTCAAAGGTACAAATTTAAAAAAAAGTAAAACTACTAAACTCCATTTTACTTCATTTTAGCGTATTTTATTCTCCGCTTCTCGTTTACCTCCAGTTGAGCGTATTTTATTATAATAACCGAAACACACCAAAACATTAGGAAAACACGATTTATTTATTTGTATTGTATTTTTGTTTTAACAAATGAATAAAAAAACAGACTGACTTCGTTTTTTTTTGATAATTTTACTTTTGTAAAAACTTGAGAAAAATCCAAATTTAGAATATTGACTGAATGTGCTATGTTCGTGTGTCAGGATTTTCATGGAAATGGGTGAAGTACGTAAATGGTAAACGTACCTCCTCATAATTGCAAGGTGGTTAAGTTTGTATTGTTACAAGTATCTCCCAGGCATGATACTATAAATAAACATTTATGAACTTACATTACATTGTAATGATTACAATGACCCCAAAACTGAGGCCAACACAATTTCAAACATCTATTGCCCGAGCTATGACGTAAGGATTTTTCTCCCGCTGACAATCACACGCTATTTAATTGGAACTGTTCTAATGTTTTTTTATGTTTTTGTTTTACCTTTTCTAATTAAAAATCACATTCATAATAAAATAATTAGATCTAGCTCTAGTCCTAGTGTTTTCCTTATGTTTTTGTGTGTTTCAGTTGTGTTTATAATAAAATACACTCAACTGGAGGTGAACGTGAAGCGGGGAATAAAATACGCTAAAATGGAGTTTTACCCTTAAAAAATATAATATTAATTAGGTCTATTAGCATTAGGTCTATTATAATTACTAATTAATAAATTACCTAATGATAATGGAAAAGTTCAAAGAAAGTAGAAAGTGTGAATAGTCACACACAGTGTCGACAGTGAATACTTATACTAGAACTACAACTATATTAAAAAAGCAACAACACTTGTTTTACTTACGACCTACCACATTGCACTTTATCAATCCATCCTAAACAAATCATATTAATAGGCCTATTATGGTATTACCTAAACTAAATTATAGGCAAGGCTTAGGGCCTTTTGTTAAAAAATTTACTTTAGAGGTCGTCAAAAAATTATGTCACATATTAGGCCTAACCAGAAATTGATTAATATTAATATACTCTGACAAGTTCACAAAATATTAAGAAAAAAAAATGGATATTCAAAAAACAAAAATTACAATTTTGAGGGGGGGGGGTTCTTTTAGGTTAAGATGTGACATAATTTGGGGGAGGAGAGGGGGGAGTAGATTTTTGTGACAATAGGGAAGGGGGAAGTAAAAATTTTATAAATATTTTTAAGTTTGAAAAAGTCAAAATCTGAATGAAATTGCTTAAGGTCCAAGCTAAAAATCATATTAGATCCATATAACCACTACCTACTATTTGGTCCACAGCATAAAGATTAGTTTAGTTACAGTGATACACATTACTCATTACCTGTATCAGAATGTATACCTTTTAAGCTTTCTGTTTGTGTTATAACCTATTGTGATTTTTTTCTTGTAGATTTGACTATATAAATAGATCCCTAACTAAAATACAACAAGCCCATCAGTTGGTTGAGGCCCTGGTGGTCTCATTATGCTAAGGATTTAAAGGGTTGACTCAAAATATCATCCAAACTATTATTTATAAGGACATCCATGAGTCCAACCAGCATTGATGGGTACATTACTCATATTAGGGGAGGTAAAGCCAGCTGGATGGGCATAGTACCGACCATACTATCTCTTCATATGCCTAGGTCAAGAAACAAATGGATCTTTATGTCTGAAAGGGGAGCTTTACTTATAATTTGTAGTAATATAACTTGAAAGTCTTTTAACTTTATGATTAGATTAGAGATTAGGTGAACTGAAGCTATCTGCTTGGTACTTGGAGAACTATACAAACATGTATCTCTGACAGTCAGCTCATGCAATTAAAGAGTACTATTGTACAGCCGTTAAAAAATGTGATGATTACTGTTTATGATTTCTTATTTTGTTTCGTCTTATCAGTTTTTGGTAGAGCAATACAGTCACTTTCAAAAATTGGAGATGAGCTATACTTTGAACCTTTGGATGATGGCGTAAGTAAAAAAACATCTGTAGTTATCTGTTCTGCATTATGTAGGCTAAATCTATGACTATGTGAAATTAAAAGTCATCAAAATTCAAAATGCAAATTTTAATAAAAGTTTCTACATTTGAATTATACAGTTAGAAAAACAAGGTTCAACACTGTAATACATGCATAAAATGCATCTTTTTTCTATACAGTTGTACTTAAGGTCAGTGAATTCCTCTCGGTCAGCGTATGCCTGCTTTCAGTTTTCACCTAGTTTTTTTCTGCATTATGTGAATGGATCTCAGACAGATGCAAATAACTCAGATGATGATTTTCTGCGGTGTAAAATTGGAATGAAAGTAAGTACACGAGAACTCAAAGATTATTTAGTATAAATATATAAATTGCCCTGAAGTTTGTATTTAGAGTATTATAAAAATCAATTATCTAAAGAGGATTTTTTTTATTTACTCAATAATTTAATTTTAACCCGGAAGAGTAACTGTTTAGAAAGTGATATAATTCACCCAATAATATCTAATGTTAAAGTTCACAATAACATCATTACTTACCACTTTAACTAGTCAACTATAGCAATGTATGATACATAGCTGTAATCTTTTTCCAGTCTGTAATGACAGTGTTTAAATCGCTCTCTACAATTGATAAAACAGTAGAAAAATGCAGAATTTCACTGAATCTGTCAGAAGCGAGACTTGTCTTTCAGATGTATTGCAGACATGGTCAGTGTTTTCTAATTAGTTTTACATGTTTTAGTTGTTTTATGGACTTGGATCTCACATGCTGTGTGATTACCTGTATTTAATACATATTGAATGGACAGCTATGTTATTGTTGCAAAAACAGCAAATATTCTGATAAGCCTGTATTTTTTCAATGTTTTTCTACAAAGCATGAGTCTATAGTTCAGACAGATCTAAAACACAAAACAATAACTACTTTTATGTACTCACTCAAGTTAACTACTTTTGAAAAATAATTGTTCATTTACATTCACCGGGCTCTTAATATTTTTTGTAACAGGCATCATAAAAACTCACAATCTGGCTTACATTGAATGTGAAACATTGCAAGCTGTTTACTCCAAGGATCTTTGCCCAAATAAATTTACAGCCCCTCCAAAGTGAGTCATAATTCAATATACAAATGAAAACAATTGGCCTACATTATATAAATCCTACTATTGTTATTGTTTCATTTTTAGTAGTCTACATCTTCAGATTATATTGACGCTGAAGAAAATCACACATTATTTGAAATTTAATAAAGTCTGTAGCATTATTAATTATTAAAGCTTCATAGTCTTTGGAATTTTAAATTTTTTTCCTTCATTTGTTCTCACTCACTGCTTTTAGTAAATTATCTTTAAAGATAATGTGTTACAAGATGGAAAGTAAGATAGATAACTCTTAATCATTTTTTTTCTAAATGTTTTTTCCAGACTTCTTTGTGATGCTGTGCTTGCCTTCCAAACAAACCAAGAGGAAATAACCCTCATCATGAGACCAGACTACGTAGCACTAAAAAATTATGTGGATGATGAACCAGGTAGGGGCTCATGATTTATCAATTTCAACATAATGCTGGACAGAGTCAAGAAACCACACCAAACCACCAAATAGCTATTATATCATTCTGTTATTTAAAATGTAATATTTTAGATAAATTTTAACGTGTATGAATATTCTAACACAGACCCTAACAAGGTGATACACACAGAGCTTACACTTTCACCCAATGAATTTGACAACTATCAAGTTGGGGTGGATTCTGATGTGACATTTTGCCTCAAGGAACTTAGGGTTAGTCATTTGACTATATTTAAAAGATAGTGAAGTTAAACTTTCGGTGTGGCGTTCAATAGGGCAAAATAAGTAGAGATAGTTTGTGGTTGGGGACGCCAGTAAATGGTGGAATAAGTTAGTGTGGTCAGTACTATGACCAGTTGTCTTCACTTTCCTGACAAGAGTCGGGTACTCATCAGACGGGTTGCTCCGAGGGGGACATACTTTAGACCACAAGCCCGGACCCGAACTTGAGACTTTCATGCTAGCAGTCATACTGTCTACCATCTGGCCACCCCATCTCTAAAGTGACCATATAAATTCCGCTAAAATAATTGATAGTTATTTATAACTCGATTATACTTACCTATCTTAACTGTGTTCAATTATTCTTTATGTTCTTATATTCTTTATCAGAAATACTATATATTTTAATTGTGAAGTACGTGCATTTTCAGCAAATGAATTTAGAAATTTTATATAAAGTAATATTTAATTTACTACATGTTCTAATTATGATATACCAGGCCATCTTGGGATTTGCTGACATAACATCTCTACCTCTCACAGTCCAGTTTGAAGGAGCTGGAAAGTATATTGCTTTTAATCTATATAAATCATTTAACATAAGTTTTACAATGCTTTAGATGCAATATAAAACATCAGTTTAATGATGATTTACTAAGTACTACACATTCATTATAATCTTTATATTGGGTTGCATTTAAATGTTTTAAAATTTGAAATATTTTAGTAATTTTTAAAGTTTTAAATAAAAATTTATTTAAATACAGATTGCTATACATAGTAACACAAAGTCAGCTATTAAAATGTATATGTATATTATGACATAACATTGACTAATTAAAACATCTGTTTTAATTTTTAGTTAATTAACCAAAAAATTGATTTTCCAGGCCTATAACATTCTCCATTACTAGTGATCTTTCCTTTGAAGCCAATTTTGTTTTGGCAACATTAGCAGACGTGGAATCTTCTCAAATTTCACAATCTAAAACCAAGCATGGCAACACTAGCAGGTTGGGTTTGAATCTTTAAATCAAAGTGTTTGCTTACTTTTCAGGCTTGTTATTTTTGAAATAACAAAGGCTAATAAATTTTGAAGTATGTATTACAAATGGTTAAAGTTTCATTATTATTTGTAAACTGATATATTATGTCACTGTTGTTCTTTCATCTGAATTTTTTCAAATAGGCATACTTTATGGAATATAATGTACTTAATTTGCTTACATTCAATATTATTTTCTTAGGAAGACAAATACATCACATTCAACCAAACAGCCTAATGGTGGATTATCAGTGAAATCGTAAGAATATTTTGACATTGATGTAATCAGAGCAAAAACACTGTTACTTATGTTTACCTTGGAATTGTTAAAATCCACAAACTTTTAAAAAATAATTAAGGTTTTATTAAAATTTGAATTGGGAAAATTTAAAGGTACTTAAATTACAGTAAAACTCCTTTACTTAACTTTTATAATTCCAGAGAAATTTTTAAAAATTCTCAGCGTATTTCATAATATTTTAAATGTGATTTACTTGTTCATTTTCAGTAGAGCTAATTCTCATTCAAACAGTACCAAAGAACTTGTGCATAAACAAAATGCATATAAAAACCTACCAGAGCCATCAAATGCGATTGACGATGATGGTGATGATGCAGAATTGACGATGGCTATGATGGATATCACTGCACCTGATGAAACGTTACTGAACAATGAATATCAACAATATAAACTAAATCAAGGTGCTAAAAATATTTCTGCTGGAAAAAGTTTAAATAATCAAGATGAAAACAGCAAGGATTGCAGCATAGGAGAAAATGGAGGAAAAGATTCAGAAAATAAAAATGTGAATAGATTTGCTTCATCAGATGATACAAATTCTGAACAGATAGCAAACAGATTGAATAATCAAGAGCAAAGTTTCCACACCAGCAATTATGTACCTGATCAAACAAGTTCCCCTGCTTTAAACAACAGAAAGACTTTGTCTTTGAAATCTGCTTATAACTCTGACACAGATGTCAGTCCTGTGATACCTATTCAGTCTGATGTAAGTTGTGTTTTTTATTCTAATATTCTTTCTATTTACTAACTATACTTGTTTTCTAATGGATAAAATTGATAAATGCAAAAAAAAATTCCTTGACTTCAGCAAAAAGTGGAAAAAGTTTTTTTAAGCTACTTTTAATGTACTAAAAAAATTTATCAATTAAGATCTATAAAACCATAAAGCAAATTATGATGTCTATTAAAAATTGTATAGGAATATTTTTTTCTCGCTTGTTTTAGACCAATAACAAAGTAGATGATCCACTTGAAGAAGACAGTGATGAAATACCTGCCACACCTCCAAGCAAAAAGGTAAATATCTCTTCCCAGAATTTTCTTACTAGTTTTAAAAAAAAAATGTTTTCGCAAGGCTTTTAAGTTTTGTTTTCCATAACATTGTTAACTCTTAGTGACAATGAATTATGTAGAATCCACAACAAACTGCACCAATGTGAATTATTCATCTCATGTATTTATTGTAAATAACTCAAACAAAACCCCCTCATTTTACAGTTTAGATCAGTTTTCTTTGGTACTCAGTCCAGTACCCAGTCTTCACAGTCTCAGAGGAAGCGCATCATCCTTGCGCCTAATTCAGATGAAGAGGACTAAGTGTTGGAGAGTACAACTTACAAGTTTTCAGTAATGTATTTTCATAAATTATTTAAAATAGGTTTTGGTTGCGATCATCTTTAAAGGGACAATTCTGATATAACTCAATAATTTAAATTTGTTGTTGTATAATTTTACTTTTACATTATTGCTAAATGGGAACTGAAATGAATATTTTTTTCTCAATTGTATTTGATGTAATTGTGTTGTTACTGAAAATATTGTAAATAATGAAATTGTTGTAAATAATAATGTAAAATACATATTTATTTTAAATAACTTTCATTCATGTGTTACTTGTTAATTTCTTAAATTATTTTATTTTGCGCCAACTTTGTATAATAAGGGATTTCTTTTACAATGTTCCATGTTTTCAGTGGCAAAAACATAATAAAATACAAAAGCTAAAACAATTTTTATTGTTTTTATTATTTACATCATATAAAACAGCGGAGTTAATTTTAAAACATTTCATCAATGCTATCTCAGTATTGACAGCAAATTGTGGATTAAAGGAAAATGAACAGCTGATCTAAAAAACACTGCCCATGAATGTACACTTGTCAAAATACAAATGTTTTGAAACAGAAATAGCTACCATACTTTAACTGTAGGGGAGTGTATAATTCTGTCACTACTGCCTACAGGTCATCTGTTATTATATGATGTCAAACTGTGACGTACCTTCAAATTAAATTCATAACAGGAAGATAAAAATGTCTGCCTAAATTTATAGACAACCAAACAGCAACAATAATTGAAAATTATTTTCTGAGCAAAACATAGGAATTGTTAAAGATTTGATATGTATGCCTTTCATTTTCACCAATGGAAAATGAATACAAAATGAGAAACTTGTCAAAAAATCAGTGATTACATCAAAGTGGGGTTTGCACCTTTTTATGCTACAAGTCTATTAAACTTTAGGTTAAATCTAAACACACAACTGCAAATAAAGACCTATATACACATTTTGTTATAAACAAATCATTACATCTTGATTATTGTTGGCACATAACATAGCTTGATAGAAATGACTAAACAAGCCGACTTAGTATGTGTTAGTAACTTAGGTTGAATAATAATTGAATTACTGTGTTAATAAGAGAAGTCAATAAATGAACTTAGTAAAACATTTTCACCGGACTTTAAAAGAAAAAATTGTTCCTAAAATTTGACTGAATTTCTGCTAGTTAATGAAATCTATTTACATACAAAAACTTTTAATGCACTCTTTAATCATTACACAACTTAGGGAATGTTCTAAATAAATTAATATACACTGTACAAGGTGTTAATGATAAATGTGGAGATATACATTACAGGGGAGAATGAGGATGACGATTGAAAGAGCTGTTAAATATACACAAATGAAAATGCTTATTGTTTATTTTATCAATTAAACTTTGAAAAAATCTTTGATGAATGACTTTAAAAAATGTCTTATTTTAAAACAAATAATTATAAAGTTGTACAACTTGGCATAAAATGTAAAAGGCATACAAGTTCAACATGTCTCAGAGAACTGCAACAAGATAGTGTATTGTTTTGTCATGAGTTTCCACAGTTGCTATTCCTTTGTCTTAAATTTAAAAAATGACACCTGTAATTTAACATGTAGCAATTGTCATGAGTCTATTCCTTTGTCCTTAAATTTAAAAATGACACCAGTAATTTATTATCTATCAATTGCCACAACACATTATTACTAAAAAATGATTTTATCTGATCAAAACAACAAAAATTAAACTGCATTCAAAGAATCAATTTGAAACATAACACTTCTATTGTTGCTATTTGGAAAAACAAATAAATTCACTCCAGGTTACACAAAACTGAAAACATAAAATATATTTTCTCTTTACATGCTAATTTTCGGTGGTAACTTTATTTAAAAAAAAAACCAACTAATCTAAGGTATTAGAGTATATGTACACCTCTTATGCGATTATGCACAGTGCTTCTTTGTGCAGTTAGTATTAGAAATACAAGCAGAATTGTCTTTAAAATGAACTTCTGACAAATCACAGTTAAATATCTGTTTTATACAATCTATTTCATCCTTTTAATGCAAAGTTTTAAACAAACAGACATTATTTTTAATCAACCTGTTACCCCAGTTCAACCAATTTTGTTCTCTGTCAAATCAAGCCAGCATCCACAATCACACAAAAATATCAGACTGGTTGGTCACCCTTGCTAGTATACATGTTATATCATCTGGCTTTCCTCCTGAAATTATACATTTAAATAAGGTTATAAGAAGTTTATTTTAAAACTTGACAAATAGTTTCAGTATTGATAGCTGTTTTAATTGTTACAACTGAACATTAAAACATATGGGGAGGTAATGGGAAGGTAATGTGTGAAATGATCTAGCAAATACAACACATGGATTGTAACCAAGACAAGAATCTGTTAGAGAATTTAGCAAATTTCTTTTGGACTAGGTAAGAGAATAGAAAATACAGACTTTAAAAAAAAAAAAAGCTATTAGAACTAACATGAGACAATTTTGGTGCTATTAGTTTGTAGCTACAACAAATTCTTACTGGTTTAATGAAAACTTAATTCGGTGGGGAAAAAAAAAACATTTATTCAGAGATCAATAAAATTATATAATCAGAATTATATAAGTAGTTATTTTTATTAAAAAAGTAACCTCACCTCGTAAGTCTATACCAAAGTCACAAGCTGAAAGGGCAAATGGAGACATATAGTCAGGGTCTAAGGAGAGCTTGTAAGCATGTTCTGCTATGCTGTTTGCTGCAGACTGAATTCTTTCCTCCTCTTTGTGCGTCTAACAAAAAAAAAAGAATGATTGAAGTATAATAATTGCTTTAATTGAATAAGAAGTGTAAATTTCCATTTTTAAAAGAATTAACATACTTAAAAACAGTTGAAGCAATACTTACATGCAATGAACTTAATGATTTAATAATCATATCTTCACTCAAGTTATCAAAAAGGCCATCTGTTGCAAGCATTAAAACGTCACCATCTTCTACTTTGAAGGAAGAAGATTCTGCCATCTCAGGGCTGAAAATAATTATATAAACTAAAGTAGAGCTTGCATACAAACATCAGAATATTGACAAATTTTTATGCCTTGCTAATGTCTTTATGCTTCTGTCTGTAATACTGTATATTAGTGTAAGTAAGTAAAGTTTCCCTTTCAAACCTGACGGTCTATGGGGCAAGTGAAGCAGAGTTCACTTGTTTCTGTGACCTTGGCATATGAAGAGATAGTGTGGTCAGCACTATGCCCAGCTGCCTTTACTTTCCCTAACGTGAGTTATGTACCCATCAGAGTTGGGTGGGATCAGGGACGGTCTACTGACTTGAAACCGGATTTGAACTCGAGACTTACGGGTTAGCAGTCCAGCTCTCTACCGCTAGACCACTCCGTCCCATAATAAATATGTGCGCAACCTTAATGACATTAAAATAAGTTAGGTACCCATCAGAGTTGGGTGGACTCAGGGACGGTCTAGACCACTCAGTGTAAATTAAGTGTTGTTTGATTTTACTGAACAAAAGTTAGGTTAAATTTAATTTCTTTAAAAAAATCCTGAGGTTAACTTTTTCCACAACTGAGGTCAATATGCTATATTTATATGTTCCTGTTCGTTCATAATCCGAAACACCCATACCTGATGTATTCATAATCTACCGTTATAAAATAGAAAGCCCATTACTGCAGAAATCAGGACTTCATCAGCTTGTCTGGCTTACAAATATACATATTTGTGTATGTTAAGTTCCTTTTCAGACCTAACGAGTCACAGAGCGAGCAGATGAAGTTTGTTTCTTGACCTCAGGTTTGGGATACAAATTCTTGCAGTTACAAATCCGGACTGAGATACGAACTCAAGACCTTCAGGCTCGCAGTCAAGTACCCTACCACACCACCCCATATACACATATGTAAGTAGGTTAGATTACTCTCCAGAAAATAAACTGTCCCAGTGACATATTTACAGCAACCTAGTGACTCTTACCTGTCACTAAGCCACTGGCCATCTCTTGAAGGTGGTGCCACAGCCAGCTGATATGGAGTGTTGAAGTAATGCTGCTGCTCCGTGGAGCGGTGAACAATTTCACCATCTCTGATCACGATGAATCCACTGTCACCAAGGTTGGCGGAGTAAATTGTTCTTTCTTCTCTGTGGAGGGAGACTACACAAGCTGTGCTGCTGCCTGAAATCAGTGTTAAAAAAAATGTATCAGAAATTCCAATTTCAAATGAACAATAGAGCTTATGACTACTAATCCAAAAGTCGCTAGTTCAGATCCCAGGCTCAAGTCTGTACAATGCCATAGAGTCCATCCAACTCTGATGGGTACTGTTACGGGTCAGTTGTAGGTTACATAGAAATAGGTTAGAATAATCTAGAATTAGGGGAGAATGCGTGTGTGAGTTGAGTTTACACTAGAGTATTGTTAACCCCGGTATGTTTATGTATTGTTATCACAAGGTCGAATGCGGTATAAAAGTTGGAGTGAATGGTTGTCAGCAGTTAGTTGGTAGTGGTTAGGGCGAGGGCGACCCTGTAACGTTGAACGTGAAACTAAATAAAAGTATACTATATGTGTCATGAATCGTTGTTGAGTTAATTCAAATCCGAACGTAACAGGTACCTTATCAACATTAACTTAAGGAAACTAAGGTGGCTGGGGCATAGTGCTGACCACACTATCCCCTCTAATGCTGAGGTCATTGAAACAGATTAACTCTACTTCATCTGCCTCATGCGTCTCAGGCATGAACTGGTAAAGATGATGATTGCAAAGAAACTAAGAATTTTTTAAACCATACAATATTTTTTCAAAATTTTCATGCTCTAAATAATAACTTGCTTCATAAAATTTTTACTAACCTAATAATAATTTAAACATTGACCATTTTCTCTAACTCACCTAACAACATTTAATTATTTATCTCACCTAAGGTTAAAACTTTCTGTTCAAGCATCTCACTGTAACCTGCTGCGATGATGTTGGCAGGAGACTGTGGACGGAAGTGGCCTTCTCTAACCATTCGTTCACATACTAACATTAGAGTTCTTGGAAATGATGAAGGGTCGATTCCATAATTTCTCCATCCCCCGACCCCATCAGCAACACCTATGAAATATATTTTAAAATAATTCAATGAATAATCGTAAAGGAGTTTTTCTTTGTGATTATATATTATCTAAATAGTTTAAGATATATCCTATGCAAGATTCAAATTAGAAATTAATTTGCTAATAATTGTGACTTTTAAGTAAAAAACAATTATAGATAACATGAACAGACAAACTCTCAAACAATCTTTTACATATGCATATATAAACAGTATCTTAACTAGCTAAATAACTTATTTTTTTACAACCTATTCCCCCCCCCCCCCCCCCAAATATATGTCCCTATGCCTTAGGTATACAAAGAATATGGGTCAAGTATGACTAATTGAAGAACATAGTCTAGTTGAATGTTTTTAAACTGGATTTAAGGATAAAAACTGACCAAAAAATAAATACTATATAGCATCTGATTCTTTTCTAAATGCTAAATATGTTAAATATACTCTTACACACACACAAAACCCAGCTTTCTATCTATATTTACTACTTGTATGAGATATGACTTACTTAAAAGAGACTTATCTTTAGATCTAGACCTATATATTTTCGTTTACCTGAACATTAGTGAAACCAAAATTGTAGTTTTATTTATTATATTATGGCACCCTGCCAAACTACAAATCCTCGTATTTTCAAAAGCAATATGCAAAAAGTATTTTATCTTTAAAAACTACACATCACAGTTGTTTCAGTGCCTAGCGCGACCTTGTTACTAGCTAGGCCTGAATTTGTTTGTTTATGGTTTTTTTAGCCTTGACTCTACAACTACAATGCCAACCATTGGCCAGACAAATCCAATGAAGTAAGCAGTATCTACATTCATCCAAAGAATCCCCCTAGTCCATACATTAATTAATATTTAATGAACTATTAAAACAATTAAATGTATTAGGCCTACACTATTAAAAAAAAAGTATTAGGTACTATTAGGCCTACAATTTAATGACATCGACTTAGTTTAAAGTTTAAGTCAATGAATGACATCCTAAAGTTAAGTAGATCTAGATTCTAGATCTCTAGATCTCGGTCTTTTATCATACAAATACATGTTTTATTAAGTTTTTAGATGGATCTTCTACAGATCTAGATCTAGATCTAGATCTAAGAATCTAGTTAATCTATTGGATTCTGCTGAATTTCTATTGCTATTGTCATTTAATTATTAATTAGGCTAATTGAATCTAGATTTAGAATTTAGATCGACTCTAGATCTAGATTTAGATCTAGAGTACAACAAGGTCTAGCTAGATTTAGATCTTATCGGTAATCTATCGTTTTAGCGTAATCAATTCGGCTGCAATAGTAATGTGCGGGAGAGGTAGCTGATGAATATATTTGTTTAAATAAGTTTATTTAAGTCAAATTTTACAAAATATCACAGATAATTGATTTAAAATAACAAACAGTGACCAAAACAATTTAAATAACATGAAACTAACTTTAAACTAGGTGTTTGAGATAAATATTAGTAGAAAAAAAACAGCGGCCATCTTTCCAAATAAAATTTAGAGTAGTTTCCCTGGATAAAAATGTCTATTCGTATGTATATTGTGTTGACTTTGTTGTTTAATATACATACCTGTCTTGTTTAATATAAGTAAGACAGAGGGCCGTCTTCTTATCTTTCATTTCATTTTCAAGTGAAATGAAGACTATGTATGTATGTACATTCCAAGATCTTAAAAAACTTTGGGAGGTCCAACATTTACTAAACCCTTTTGTACTGATTAGGGGTCGTCCATAAATGACGTCACAATCGGAGGGGGGGGGGGGGGGGGTCGGTAATTTTGTGACGATGTGTGATGACGGGGAGGGGGGGGGGGGGGGGGTTCAGATGGTGCTACGTCACACTTTTGCTTTATAGATAAGAAAAGTTAGAAAACGAATTTTAGACATTATTTAGCTTTTTAAAAAAAACAGTTTTAATAAATTATAATAGGAATTGATTAAAATACTATATTTTGACATATTTCAGACAAGATTTTGGAAAAATATCGATGTTTTAAAAAAAAAATCAACTGCAATTTTGAGGGGGGTGGGGGGGGGGGGGGGTTGTAGGCTGATGTGTGACGTCATTTTAGGGGGGGGGTCTGGCTTTTTGTGACGACGTGTGACGGAGGGGAGGGGGGGAGGTAAAAATCGTATTAAAAAAGCGTGACGTCATTTATGGATGACCCCTTAACTTGTCAATTATTAGGTCGTCCATATTCCTCATAAATGACGTTGGACTCAAAATATGGGAAGGTGTAAAATATTTTTTTTCAAAAATGATGAAGAATATATTCGTTTTCGTTAGAAATTGTGATTAAGGGTTCGGGTATAGAAGAACTGCGATATGATATTAAATCATCATCTTGCTTTTAGTAACTATTGGGTGAGAGGGAAATTGTCGGGAAAAGTATGACGTCATTTAAGGGCGATCCATTTAATTAAGCCTAGTTGTTTATTGTGTCTGTAGACATTAGTCTTAGGCCTACACTTTTTCTGAATTAAGATTACTGTATTTTTTAAAATAGGTTCAAATTTTAATTAGTTACATTTGAATACCACATGGGTTTTTTTTTCTTTGCCTTCTGCTGTCATCAGTTTTTGATTTCTTCAGTAGTCAATGTTTACCCCTCCCCACCATCCATTATTACCAAAAAAAAAAAAAAAAACACCCACTATATGTGTCATAGCGTAGATATATAGAATTAGACTAGACGAGTAGAGGTTACTAAGGACGGTACGAACTTGACGGTAGACGATTTGGTGCGAGAGTATTGTGCGCGTGTTCAATAAAATATGTGTGGCGTGAGTGTGACGTGAGCATGGTGCGACAATGTACCGATGACGTAAGACGCAGCAGTGAAGTTAGTTGGGGGTTAGATATAGTAGAAGACGGATGTATTATTTGATATTGTGAAAATGATCTATAAGTGTGTGTTAATTAAGTTCATGTTATTTCATAAACTAAGTTGTTGACATTGTTAATTAGTGTCTGCGGAACATAAGAGTGATTCCCGTCCTCCTCACGAGTATAATAGTTGCCGTATGAATAGTAGTAGATCAGAATATATTGAGATTATATATAAATCGCCCATCACAATATAGTGATATCCCACTCTAGAAAAAAAAAAAAAAAACTAGATCAACGTATAGTTCGTAGGAAAATTAGAATCTATCACTTATTCGTCTGTTAAAAAAAAAAAGAAATACGTCATTTTTCTCAACCACGCCGTTTCATCCCCCACTAAGCACAACGTCACAAAGTTCGTGGCGCGCGTGACGTCATTTGTCATTAGGCTAATGTTTAAGAAAGATACCGCGTAATTAAAAGAAAATCAAAACAGGCCCTAAATCACTATGGCGATGAGACTTTAACGACGTTTAGCCTGACGAATAGATCTAAATAACCTTAGTTCGGTGAATTATATTGGTGTTTAATTTATTACAGTGGCATGATATTCTCCCTCTACTATACAAATTCACGTGCTTTTAATTTCTGCAACCTGCTGCCCTGAGACGTTCGGCTCTAAAATGCCCGTGACACCGCGGCTTCGGTAAATGCATTTAGGCTCCCGGTCCCACCTATAAACGTCTGTCCATTAAGCTCCACGCAAAACGTGTGATTAATATGTGGACATAAGCGGCGCTAGTGGTGGTGTCAACAGGGGCCAAGCTCAGGTCTTAAAGGTGCTCCGCACTTCATAAAAGACAAAATTGATGTTCAGATATCGTCGGACTCTGGCGTTTTGCCGACGGCCGTACTCCTAATGCACAGTCTTAGAGGCTGTCCACTGCTAACACTATTTTATGTTAAATTCAAGCCTATACTGAGCTGTGGCTTTACATTAGCTCAGTGGCGTAGCGAGGTCGAGTGTCACCCGGTGCGGCACTTAATGGTGTCACCCCCCAGAGGCGACAAACTTTCAATTTTCGATTTGTCCCATTTTACCTGCTAGTCAATACTTGTCGAATATTGTTGACAGGAGCTACTTGGTTTGAGCCTTGTTGTCAGAAGTTATTTCATTTGGAGTCAATATAGTGCGGCCTATTTTCGTCGGTAGGCATTTAGTGGCAGGCCCTTTTTGGCGGGGATGATGTGCTGAGGTTGTTTAACACCGCTTAGTACAACAGGCATGCAATAGTTATGAACAAATGTATGCATGAAAACGAACGCTTTATGTTCCTCATTTTCACTGAGCACAGCTTTATAGAAGATTCCAAAATAGACGTCACGCATCCCCCCCCCGACCACCCTGCGTAAGTTGACGTCACATTAGCATTGCATATGTGACATCGTTTATGGGCAACCCCAAAAAACTCATTTTGGGTATTTGGTATCAACATTTTGACAACAAAGGTTATTCAAAATGTATATAGGACTTGACATCTACCCTAAATGACATCGCACACTTAAGGGGTGGAGTAACTGGTTTTGAGACGACGTTTTACGCGGGAAGTGGGAGGGGTAAGAAACGTGAAACGTTATGTATTTCGCCTAATACAAAAATGCTAAAAATATTTTTCATTAGAATTATGGCTTGACTTTTTAATAGACAGGACAAAAAGGTAATTTTCAACATTACGACTATTTCGTGACGGCGAAAATGGGGGTGGGGGGGGGGGGGGGGGGTTAAGGTGAAGAGAGGTCAAAAACGGGACGTCATTTGTGATTAAATCACTAATTAAAGGAAAAAAGCATGAAAATATTAAATGAAAATAGGAAACAAACAATAACACAAACAATAAGAATGAACTCAAACTAATATTTAAATAAACATTAGATATGACCATATGTAGTGGTAGCTCTATAAAAATAGGGAGTATCTTAATGTATAAAAATTGCATCTCATAATAATAATTATAGAACTGATGTTTATTGTCAGTCAATTAAATTGTTTAAAGGGCAGAATTTAAAAAAAAACGCATGCTTTGTATTTAAACACAAGACTAACCTATTTAACAGCAAACATCAATACATTTCCATACAAATAGAAATTAAAGGGAAATGACTCAAAATAATATTTTCTTAAGATGGCCGCTGTTTTTAATAGCAAATTTAGTATCTGTAACATCGTTGTTAAACTTTAATTTCCTGACATTTTTATTGATTTAAACCTTAAATGTGGTTTAATATTCAATTATCTTTAGTTATTTAGTAAAATATGCAAAAATATATCCATATTTAAGCCATATTTATTAGTTACCTTATCCCTACATTACTAGTGACGGCCGAATTGATTACGCTAAAGCGATAGATTACCGGGTAATCTATCGTTTTGGGTACGTAAAATCGCCCGCGGCTATTTATGTACGAAAACGTTACCTCATTGTCAAGGCTTTAATAGAGGTGTATTGTCATACTTTTGTGTCAAATATTATAGATAAATGAATAATAAACCTAAATCAATGGCTAAATATATCGATATAGGCCAGAAATTAACTTTAAACAGCAGTGTCTGAGAGCAAGATTTGCTATATAAACAGCAGCCATTTGTAAAATAGAGTGGCTTCCCCCTGAATCTGGCGCTAAAAGCTTATAAAAATAAAACTTAGACAAGATGGCTGCTATAGTAAATAAGCATGGTTGCATCTGTTGGAAACATCGCTAGTCTTCATTTATTACGGAAAAGTTTTAATTCAATTGTTTAAAAACAGGTACATAAATGAATCAAGGAAACATGTTTGAATTTTTTAAAACATAAATCCTCCTCAAAATGTGAAATAATTATTAAAATTTAAGGAGTCATCTGTTTTTCACATTACAAATCGCGGGCGATTTTACGTACCCAAAACGATAGATTACCGATTACCGATCTTATCATCTAGATATCTAGATCTAGATCTAATCTAGATTTTTATCAATAATTATTAGACTCAATCATGATGAGTTTGATCTGCCTTACCTATAACGTCTGCTACTTTGTTTCTACTGATAAAATACGCGTCGTCACCAAATGTCCATTTACTTAGTTGGCTTGACTTAGTCACTGACTTAGAAAATCCTGATGCTCCAGCGACTAAATGAAGTGGTTCCTTGGGTTTATCAAACGGGGTTTTTAATTGAAATTCATTGTGAATTCCGGCGGCTAATGCTCGGGCGACTATCCTCCCGTACTGGGCCACCGATTGCATGTCAAGCTCAATTTAAGTTTAATTGACAAGAGAACAACAATACCACTCTCTACTTTTTTGACTCCATCTTTGTCTCCTTCGAAATGTGCCAATGACCTTTGTTAATAAAAATCCAAGGGAAATAATCACAAAATAGTTCATTTTGTTGTTATCTATAACCGAGTTTTCTACAGCTACACTTTTACTGTTTTAGCCACAGGCTTATCATTCATTTTCATCCAAGAAATAAAGTAGAAATCTAGATTCTAATTAATATCATCTATTCATATTAAAATGTACAATCTATATATAACTATAAATAACGGCATGTGTATTTAGTGTTGAAAAAATGGAAATCCATAGGCTAATTTCTACTGATATGCAAACAACCTAAAATAAAAATAAAAAATATGTAACGTAGTGATTACTCGGTATACTCCGGGTATACAGTATAGAATAGCGAGTGTATTAAAATTACTTTGCACTTAGATCTAAATATTCCGCAGCCAGGGGAAAAATGTATATGATGGCCAGAAGCTGGTTAAAGGAACTTTTCGGGTATAATTAGCAACAACGCCTGAATTTTGTTTAAAAATCATTTAAATTGTCTTTCTTTCATATAAAAGGAACACAATTCAAATATTTTTTACGTGAAACAAACATAGCATGGTTATATCCCTTTACGATTGTGAGAAATGGGGGAAAAAATAATTTTTACTAGCGTACTCGTGGTACGTCGCTTCATCTCAGAGGAAAGGTTGACACAGCATGATAGGAGGCAGAGGCGTAGCGAGGGGGTTGGGGGTGCGGACCGCACCGGGTGACACCATTTAGGGGGGTAACACCAAGGCAAAAAATAGCAAAATATATAGAGAAAAACTTGAGGGGGGGGGGGTGCAAATCGAAAGTTTGAAAGTTTGTCCCCGGGAAGGGTCGCTACGTCTCTGGGGGGGGGGGGGGGGGGGGGGGGGGGGGGAGGGGGGTGACACTGATAGGAGGATTTCATCAATGCATACCAATTGTGTACTTTTAGACGTGTGACCTTGTTTTCTAAACAGTGCCGGCGCCAGTTATTTAACGCCCTATGCAAAACTTATTAAAACGCGCCCCTCCACACAAATTAATCAAAATATATAATAGTATCAATAAAAGCTAGAAATAATTAGTTATATTTTTAATAATGGCGATTGCCCATTTTCCGCCCCTTATTCCTTATGGGTTGCGCCCTAGGCGACCGCCTAATTCTCCAATGGTAGCGCCGGCCCTGTTTCTAAAACTAAGTTATTTAAATGTAAACAATACCGAAGCTATATTGGATCAGTTTTTGGGATCAGGTTTGTCCACTCTACCACTCAGAGGCCATATGTATGAAAGCCTTGAGTTGTGTTAATAACTCCCCGTAATATTGAAGAACACATCTCAGCGAACGCCCAGGTGACAGTGAGCAGTGTTTCTTTCAGATTTTTTTTCTCCGGGGGGGGGGGGGGGGCACTTGAAATTTTAGGGGGAGGACGCCACTGTTAAAAGTATATATTTTCTATATAAATTTAATTTCGTTCGGGGGTTGCCTCAGTTTATGTCGTCGAATGTAGTCACCCACCGTGTCTTTATTGTAAAAGGAACTTAGGCGCCACAGGGCTCACGGGGGAGCCCGAGGTGCACAAGGTCACTCGACCGTCGTTGCGCCGGTGGACGAGCCAAATTAAATTTAGTTAACAATTATTATAGCCTTGTGTATGGCGCTCTTTAAAATGGACGTAGGCGAGCCCGGGTGCTGCTGGTCACCGGATCACCGAGGCAAAGAGGGCCTAATGCTTAAAAGACAAGCGCACATACGCATACAGTGTGAGTTTGTGTACCAGTGTTTCTTCCAGACTTTTTTCTCCGGGGGGGGGGGGGGCACTTGATATTTTTGGAGGTGGGGGGGGGGGGCGGACAACATTTTCCGGGAGGGACGACACTCTGTTAAAAGTATGTTTTCTATATAAATTCCTTTTCGTTCGGGGGGGGGGGTGGTGGCGGTAGACTCTCTTGGGGGGGGGGGGGCTGCCCCCCGAAGAGTTGCCTATGGAAGAAAGTCTATTGTGTACTTAAGTCAGTGTTTGCCACCCCCCCCCCCCCTCCATCGGGAGACCCTCTCTCTTCTTCCGAATAAATTAAAACTGTTTCAAATGCTCCTTTCCGTGAGAAAGATGTCGGAAAGAAACACACTTACTACTGTCAATTTGTTGGTCCAAATGGCGTCCCTCGTTCCCGCCCCACCCACCCCTTCCCAGCACACTCGAATCTCCTCCGAACACCCCCCCCCCCCCCGGTATAAAATATTAATTGCAACGACGTTTTAAAAAAAAATATTAATCATGTCTTTCTAAAGGAAAAGCGTTTCTTAATGGTCATTATAAATTAAACAAAATCAAACAGTAATAAAGTTAATACAAACTAGTTTATATCTAGACTCTAGATCTAATAAACCCGTCCTAACAAAATAAAATAAAAAAAATAAAAATATTTACGTTAGAATTTTTTTTAAAAAATACATCGCCAATGTAACCAGATTGGGCAAACGTATTTTAATTTAGTAGAGTGCATGTTTTTTTTTTTTTTTTAAACCATTATTGACAATTGTATATATTTCATATGACTATAGATCTATATATAGTTTCGATTATAATTATAGAGTCTAAGCCAAATCTAGATTGACTGATTGAGCTTAATGCAATTTGTTTTTTTTACTGTTTGACTTTTACATTTATTTCTCCACTATTCTAAATATAGATCTAGAATCTAGATCTAGTAATAATCTGGGTAATGTTTTGAAAACAACACATGATTCTGTTTGTTTCCAAAAGAGAGTAAACAGAAGTTAGTCGGTAAGTCAGCCAGTATTTTTAAGTTATTATTATAGGCGGTTTTTATAATTTTACTGTGCTACACATTCCTACAGGCTTCACAACTATAAGTATAATAAGTAACTAGATCTAGTCTAGATTCTAATTTAATTAATTACTAATGGATCGTCTAGCTAGTTCTACTCTAGTTCTCAGTTCTGTAAAGTTCTGTAATAAAATAAAATTATTTAAAATTATTAATTTATTAGGCCTAGATCTAGAATCTAGATCTAGATCTACCTAATTTTGAAAATAATTCTCTGTTAGTGTTAACACTCACACAGTTAATAAAAAATAAAAGATTGATCGACAACGAAATAAACAAGATAAGAAAAAATATTAAAATTTAATAGGATTAATAGGCTCTAAGAACTTCAGTAAGAAGACTGAAATTTTTTACACACAGTAACATTAACTAGTTTATGAACTTTATGTGAGCATGAGTGCTTTGCGATCTAAATTCTAATTCTGTTTATTGTTGCGACATTTAAAATGATATTTAAGGGAAGTGGTTTTAACCGTTTTATATTTCTGCTCAGTAACACAATTTTCACAGGAACCTATGAATGAATCAATGAATCCATAGGCCTAAATGTTGGTAATCTATCGTTTTGGGTACGTAAAATCGCCCGGGGCTATTAATGTACGAAAACGTTACCTCATTGTCAAGGCTTTAATAGAGTTATCTGATATGTTTGTGTCAAATATTATAGATAAATGGATAATAAACCTAAATCAATGGCTAAATATATCAATATTGGCCAGAAATTTACTTTAAACAGCAGTGTCTGCGAGCAAGATTTGCTATATAAACAGCAGCCATGTGTAAAATAGAGTGGCTTCCCCCTGAATCTCGTGCTATAAGTTTATAAAAATAAAACTTAAACAAGATGGCTGCTATAGTAAATGAGCATGGTTGCATCTGTTGGAAACATCGCTAGTCTTCATTTATTACTGAAAAGTTTTAATTCAATTGTTTAAAAACAGGTACATAAATGAAACAAGGAAACATTTTTATATTTTAAAAAACATTATTACAATTTAAGGAGTCACTTGTTTTTCACATTACAAGTCGCGGGCGATTTTTACATACCTAAAACAATAGATTACCTAAATGTTATATTTTATTCTGTGTAAACAAGCCCAAAGTAAGTGCATTGTTTCTGTGATGCTGGGAAACAATTATGCAGTAGGCCTATGGAGTATTTAATACAATTTAGATCTAAGTGTTTGTTGAAAAGTTACATTTAAAAAAAGTATTTCTCCCCCACCACCCCCAACCCAGGTATAGTGGTGAAAACATCACTGGATAGATTGACAATTGTTTTCTTTCTTTTAATCCACAGTCTTGTTTTTCTAAAACCAAGTTTTCATTCTAACAAGGATGACAGAGGTAAGTATTATATAATCAATATCAAAGATAAAATGTCTTGTGGTCACCCATTAAAGACAATGAACTAGTTTTTAAAAACTCTTTGACTTCTCGCCCCCCATCATCAACCTTGTTGCTACAAAATCTAGACTGATGTCAAAAAGTTTGATAATCCCCCCCTCCCACCTAAACTCAAATTTGAATCATTAAATACAAATTTGCATGTTTATGTTTTTCATTCTTTGAAAATAAAAAGTACAAAATAAATATATCATTGATTTCTTCCCTCCCCAAACACAAAATGAATATTAACCCTGGTCATCGATTTTTACTATTGCTCCCATCCATCACCCCTCTGGAGAAAATGTATTTTATTTGTAACTGACAAATTGTGTATTAAGTCCATGTTTTTCTGCACATGTTTAAGGGAGGTAAACTCTGGGGTGGTCGCTTCACTGGTGCCATTGATCCTATCATGGAGAAATTCAATGCGTCTATTCAGTTTGACAAGCGGATGTGGAAGGCTGACATTGAGGTAGCAGAAAGATCACTGTTATGTTATTGAATACATTGTCTCATTATTGTGGATACTTTTATTTTTTAAAGTTGTGCCTAAATAAAAAAAAACCAAACAAATGATAAATTTAAATACATTTTTTAGGGGAGCAAAGCCTATGTTTTAGCACTTGAGAAAACAAATCTGGTCACTGCAGATGAGAGAGAGGATATTTATGAAGGTCTTGAAAAGGTAAACAAATTAAAAGATAGCTTTATAAAAATAACAATATAATTACAAGAATCAGGTTAACCATTAACAAACTGTATAATAAATATTTTATTACATCAAAATATTCCATCAAAAGTATAGTATAGAAATTAAAAAATTAATACAACAATTATGTAGTTTATTTTGAGACTTCTACATAACCCTGACAATGCTGGAATCTACACTATTACCTTTCTTTTCTTCTATGCAGATATTTGTTTATTCCTATGCCTAAAACATTTTCATGTATTGAAAAAAAAATGTAATATTTAAACAATCGACCTGTTTAAGGATAAACAAAATGTACTAATTCACAGGTTAGACATGAATGGGATGCAGGTACATTTGAGATCAAGCCAGGTGATGAAGATGTGCACACAGCCAATGAGAGAAGACTTAAGGTGAGCGCTACCAGTTGAATGATCTCTTGCATAGTTCTACTCTACCAATTCAAATGACACGAGTTTTGAAATTCACTGTAGAAATTCAGCACCTGAATTAAAAACTGAATCTTCTTTTCCTAAGGCACATGGGGCAGGTGAAGTAGAGGTCATCTGTTTAAAAAAACTGACACCTGATGTTAAAAGTTACCCTATTTAACCTGGCTGTCCATGGGGCAGATGAAGTAGAGTTGGGGCAGATGAAGTAGAGTTCAACTGTTTCTGGTGACCGTGGCATATGAAGGGATATTGTGGACAACTATGCCCAGCCAGCTGGCTTTACCTCCCCTAATTTGAGTCAGGTACACTATTGAGCTGAATCCAAACTCGAGACTTTTGGGTGAGGGTTCGTATGCTCTACCATCTGACTACGCTGTCCCACTAGCTGATGTAGATTTAAGAAAACTTCTCAAATTGAGGTTGGTTCACCTGAGTTTCTTTTTTTCACTAAATATCGAGCTAGGAGTTGATTGGACCTGTAGGTGGCAAGTTACATACTGGGCGAAGTCGCAACGACCAAGTGGCAACAGATATGAGACTCTGGTTCATAGACAGGTCAAAAGTTCTCATCAAGCATGTGGCTGAGCTCATACGCGTCATGGTGGAGAGGGCTGCTGTGTGAGTACAGATTTTTTAAACCATAGTTTTAATTTCATAGAGAAAAATGCTATGTAAGTGCAGATTATTTTTTCCACCATTGTTTTAATTTTAATAAAGAAGGCAATTGTGTTAGTGTGGTTTCTTTTTTTTTAACCAATGTTTTAGTTTCATAAAGAAGGCTGTCATTTATTTAAACTACATTATTTTTATATTGCTATATGCATGTATTATGGTTGATGTTTCATTTTTGTTCCTTGTGGAGCAAAGGGCCTCTGTCAAAGCTTTCTACTCTCTGTGGCATCCTGCCACTCTTTTCAGCTGTTCCCAATTCCTTCCTATCCTTTCAGCCTCCTATATGTCACTATGTCTTCCTGGGTCAACCAATGCATTGCTTGCCATGTGGGTTAAGGTTGATGTTTGCCTGAATGTGTTTATTTATTTGTAGAGAGATTGACATCCTGATGCCAGGATACACACACCTGCAGAGAGCACAGCCCATCAGGTGGAGCCACTGGATCTTGAGGTAGTGTTGTTTAGTCACATAACAATTTTAATAAGACTAATACAATTTCTCTGCAATCATATGTAAGTAGTAAAAATCACTTTCACTCCTGATGATCCATGAGACAAGTGAAGTAGAGTTCATCTCTTTCTATAACCTCGGCATATGAAGGGATAGTGTAGTCAGCATTGTGCCCAGCTGCTTATACTTATATAATTCATGTACCCATCAGAGTTGAGTAGACACAGTGACATTCCATAGACTTGAACCCAGATTCAAACTCGAGACTTTTGGATTAGCAGTCGTATGTTCTACCATTCAGCTGACAGTCCATGGGGCAGATAAAGTTTGTCTGTTCCTTGACCACTGCTCTATTCCCAACCATTTTTACTTTCCCTTACCCGGTCAGACACCCATCATAACTGGGTGGACTTAAGTCAGAGATCCAAACTTTTGACTTTCAAGCTAGAGGTCAGCACTCTACTTCCCAGCCATGCCATCCCATTATTTAACTGTTCTACTCACTCACTGATCATGTTTCTCTCTGTGTGTTCATCCAGCTACGCTGTCATGCTACAGAGAGATGTAGAGAGGCTGCAGCAAATTAGCACCAGGGCTTCCACTTTAGTTCTTGGCAGGTACATTTTTACATTTGTTTCAGTTTATATTTTATAGTTACACTTTTTATCTGCCTAAAGGTTTGAGACTGGTCCTCTCACTTACATAAAGATATTGAGTAAAGCTGAATAAAAGGTTGCCTATGTTCTGAAAAAACAGTTATTATTTAGCTAGCATAGAATTAGATAGCTCTGTGTCTATTAAATTAAATTGCTATTTTTAAATTTTATTTTAAAGTGGTGCACTGGCAGGAAATCCATTTGATATTGACAGAGAATTTCTTAGACAAGGTAAGTTGAATACAATATAATTTTACAACATTTCCTGCCCTTTTGTGCCTCGGTTCAATAAATTGGAGTGCAGTGATTTCTATTTGAGTTTTCCATTTTATGTTTTAAGGATAAAGTTGATGAAAAAAATATTGTGTGCTTTTTGTTGAGACTACATTTTTAATACAAAAATAAAATCTGAAAAGGAAATAAAATTATCTTTGAAATAACTTTTTTTTAAATCTTTAGAATTGAACTTGCAAAGAATTTCACTTAATAGTCTTGATGCTGTTAGTGACAGGGACTTTATTGGTAAGGCAATTAAATTTCAAATGAATATAGTCAACTTAATTTCTTATTTTTAAATCACTGGTATGAACATTATTTTAGTCAAATTGAAAATATAAATATCCTTATGATCAGCTGTTTTAAACCCATGTTATTCAATTGTATAAAAAGGAAGTTAAAATGTCATCTATATTAATTGCTGTTTACAAATTCATTAAATATTTATATTTCTTTAAAGCTGAGTTTTTGTTCTGGGGCTCCCTGCTGGGAGTCCACCTGAGTAGGTGGGCCGAGGATCTTATTTTGTATTCAACCAAAGAATTCAACTTTGTGACTCTCTCTGATGCTTACAGGTAAGTGTTGTGTTGTTTTTTTGTTACCTGATATAAAACAAAGCATGTACTTCTGTCTTTGTGATTTTATTATATTACAAGTAGGTCTAAAGATAATAATTTCATTAGCAGTTTATTTTACAAAAAAATTTCAAATGAAAAATGTTGATTCCATGACCTGAGCTATTGTTTTAAAATCTATAAGAAGTGCTTATTAAAAAAATATATCGGGGAAAGCTAGTTTGTTAATTTGTTTTAAATTTTTTTAGTACTGGCAGCAGTTTGATGCCCCAGAAAAAAAACAGTGACAGCTTGGAGCTGATTAGAGGTAGAGCTGGGAGACTTTACGGCAATGTGAGTTTTACTCTTGCGTTATACAAGTTTGTCTTAACCTTTCATTGGGTTTGTTTTATGTATTTTTTAACAGATGTTATTTTTTTTTTCCATAGATCTTTTTTTGATTTTGTAAACTGATCAAGTTAATTATAATGCTAATGATCAATGTAACATATTTGTATGTGTGAATGTAACTTATATATGTGATATTATGCATAATCTCCATACTTTATATTAATAATTCAAATTGTTGTATTAATGTATAAGTAACATAGTTTGTAAACTATAAACTCTAACTCAGCCAGGAAGAATTAATGCTATACTTTCATGATTCTAGAGAAAATGAACGATTTTGTTTTTTGCAGTGCACATCCTTTATGATGGCTTTAAAAGGTATTCCAAGCACTTACAACAAAGATCTGCAAGTTAGTATCATTGGTTTTAGTTTTTGTCAGAAATATCTCACTATAAAAGTACTATTACAAACCTGATAGCCCACTGCTGCTACTATTTCTGCTGTATCAGTAAACAAAGTGATTGCTTGTGGCTTTTACTCTCATATCCCAGCACTATACCCAGTGACTTTTACTTCCTTAAAGTAATGTATGGAATCCTCTTTAGACCTAGCGATCCATTGGGCAGATGAAGTAGAGTTCATATGTTTCTTGACCTCGGCATATGAAGGGAAGGTGTGGCCAGCACTTTGCCCAGCCACCTTTACTTTCCCTAACATCAGTTAGGAACCATCAGAGCTGGGTGGATTTAGGGACTCAGTAAGCCTGGTTTACTCCCTGAGACTTCAGTTATTGGAGTGATTATGTGATCAGCACTATAAAGGTTTTACTCCCCATATCTTAAGTTAGGTATTTCAGGGAGCTGTGAGTCAGTGCAATTTGTACTTAAAAACATCTGCTTTTCTTCTACTTAACAAAGCCCTGGGTCTCTTACCAGTAACTAGTTATGGCACAACAATGGAGTCTTCCTTAAAGAGGTGTTGGGAGTAAACTGTAAATGAATATAACATGACAATGACACTAACACTTGATTTAACCCAAGTCTTATAAAAGCTCTAACCCTAGTAACTGTCCCTTACACTCAACTTGATAGTTCAATACTCGTGACAATACAACTTAACAGACCTATTTTAGGAACAATACATTGTCTGATATATAAGAATACCCCAGTAGTTTTAATATCTTTATTTTTCAATTTAATATTGTTGTTTATAATATTTCAGGAAGATAAAGAAGCAATGTTTGATACATATGACACTCTGTGTGCTATCCTGCAAGTGGCAACAGGAGTTTTGTCCACTCTTAAGGTACAATAGATGGATCATTCTTTTGTTTACATTTTTCACTGTATATTCACTATTTAGAATAACCAAAGACTTAAATATTGTAAAAATTCTGCTGCAAATAATCTATCTAGTAATAGTAATTAAGTTTATTTAATAAATTCTAATTCTGCTGCAGATAGTCTATATTATAAAAGAAGTTTATTTTATACATTTATGTTCAGAATCACTTTAAAATTTGCCTGAGTAAGTTGAGCTGAATAAATAAAAAAGTAAAGTATCAATCAAAATTTGCACTGATTTTCCCAGATTCACCCCGACAAGATGAAAGGTGCACTAAGCCCGGATATGTTGGCTACTGATATTGCCTATTATCTGGTTAGAAAAGGGGTAAGATATTTATGTTTATGTCTTCTAAAATAAAATAAAAACAAAGCAAATCTAAATTTTGCAAAACAGTTCTATTAAAAACTTTACAATACCATGATTCAAGACATTTTTTTACATTTATTTTTATAATTTTCTTTTACCTATTCCCATGTTAATTTAATGTATTGGATGAAATGATCTTCATATATCAATAATTAGTTCTATTTTTTTTTTATGCATTAGTGTTTTTGAAAATCTGTTTTATTTTATGTCGGCTGTATTGGTTTTTTTTTTCAATAATTAGTTCTAAAATTTTAAAGCCAGTTTTTAAGTATCAATCTAGCACTCAATCTGTTATGGGAAACTGCTTTTGTGGTCAACATCAAACTTCAGATACTGTTCTAAATGTTTTAAGTTAATATAAACATTATTTAACAATATTTAATTGTGTGCGGAACACCTGGATTTGTTTGAATTTACGTATCTCCCTTTGTTACTTAGTTCTATCTTGTAAAAATATCTTCATATGTCTAATTATACCTTGTAAAACGTATACCTCCCTGACTGTTTATCTAGTCATACCTTCTAAAAAGTTACCTCCCTTACGTTTTATATAAGTTGGTACATTTAAAAAAGATTCACCTTGGCTGAGCATGGGTATGCAGCTAGTGTAAACATGTTACCTCCCAACATGCTAATTATACTTTGCAACAATGATACCTCCCTGACAGGTCATCTGGTTATACCTTCTCCCTAACATGCTATGCCTTATAAAAATGTTATCTTCACAGTTGCCTTTCCGTGAAGCCCATGGCATGGCAGGTCTGTGTGTGGCCCTTGCAGAGAAACAAAATATTCCAGTGTCTCAGCTGTCTCACAAAGATTTCCATTCCGTCAGGTGGGTTTGTGGGAGAGGCTTGGTGCCTGCGTAACTTAGCAAGATAAGCTTTAGAGGAATATTTCTATGAGATATGAGCAAGATAAGCTTTAGAGGAATATTTCTATGAGATATGAGCAAGATAAGCTTTAGAGGAATATTTCTATGAGATATGAGCAAGATAAGCTTTAGAGGAATATTTCTATTACAGTAGAGATATGTTTTTTATTTGTAAAGCTATTAGAAAACTGACCTTCCATTCAGTCAGTTGGGTTTGTGGGAGTTTATTGTCTGCATAACTTAAGATAAGATTTCGGCAAATATATCTATTAATTAGGATTGTATGATTTATAAAGCTATTAGAAAATGTGCAGACATTGTATATGTTGTTTAGTATGTTATATTTGTGTTTACATTTTTTTTTAATTGTGAAGAAATACCAGATATGAACAGGATAAATCTGGGCAGTAGGATTGAAATAATAAAATTGAACATTTGGCACCAATGGAAGATATATGTTCAACACTCCTAACATATTAGCACCAATAGAAAGTATGTGTTCAACACTCCTAACATAATGTTTGACTTTGTAAATTGTTTTTTCAGCTCACTGTTTGAGGAAGATGTGACGAAGGTTTGGGACTATGACAACTCCGTAGAGCAGTACAAGGCTATGGGTGGGACGGCCAAGTCCAGTGTTTTGGCTCAGATATCCTATCTCAGGGCTTGGCTGGACGAGGCAATAGATGAAAAGCATTGAGGGGCCAGTCTGTGAGGGGATTCGTTGTGCGAGGCGAGTCTGTGAGGGGATTCGTTGTGTGAGGCCAGTCTGTGAGGGGATTCGTTGTGCGAGGCCAGTCTGTGAGGGGATTAGTTGTGCGAGGCCAGTCTGTGAGGGGATTCGTTGTGTGAGGCCAGTCTGTGAGGGGATTCGTTGTGTGGGGCTGGTCAGTGAGGGGATTCGTTGTGTGGGGCTGGTCAGTGAGGGGATTCGTTGTGTGGGGCTGGTCAGTGATGTGATTTAGTGACAAAACTATAATGTGTGACTCAAGACTCATTTGAATACTCTAAAATTTTTTTGATGCTAAATTTGAGTTCCAGATTGTGTTTTTTTTTTTTAAATTTGCATTAACATTTTTTTGTTCTAACTTATATATTGTGATATTCAAGCAACTGAATGTATTGTGTGATTTAAATTTTTTTTGTTTAAATTAAGTGCTTTTGTTGAAAGTAAAGGTTCTGAATGGTATTCAATAATATAAAAATTACTTTCCACTTTAAAGAATAGTTAATAATAATTTATTATGGTAAATTTATAATTTTAAGAACTTTATTTACTTATTAATGATTTACAACTTTGTAATGATCTGTGTTAATAGTCAAATTATTAATTGCATAATTATAAAATATAGTTAGCTTACTATTATTTTAACTTTTTAACAGTAAGCCCTAATCAGACACAATTTTTTTTTAAAGTAAGAAAAGTAAATTAAACAAATTTTTCAAATACTTTTTCTTTTTTTAAAAATAATTAGTGTTTAGCTCTGCATTTATCTTGTTAAATATCTTGCAGTATTTTCATAAAGAAAACTAGAGCATTTATGATATGAGTCATTAACACTGATATGAGTTACTGATATCGTATGAGTCACTTAAACTTATATTGCACCTACCATCAGAGCATCGACCTTAAGTTTTGTGCCTAAACATGTAAATAAGCGTATCACAAAGTGCAATGTGTATTTTTATGCAGATATTAAAATTTGTCATCCTTTAGTTTAGATTTTTTTTCTCTTCCATGAATTTTTTTTATTGTGAATATTCCTTCCAGTCACGATTATTTTTATTTTACTACGTCAGTAAATTATTTTTAACCACATTAACTGGTGGTAAAATTTCACATCATTTATTGATTTTGATGTATTATATCTTCATACATGTTTAGGAATGTCTCAATCTTTTACGTGAAGTTAATTTTGTTAATCAGATTGAATTAAAAATAAATGTAAGTACCGAGTCTCTAAACTGCCAGTTTGTTGAAGGCAAATATTTTAATCAATTAACTAAGTTTGTGGTTCACTTCACAAATATACTTAAAAAAAGGAACTAGGCTTGTGCGAGGTAAGCCTTTGAACATTTACGCAAGTGTTTATTTGCCGACCAAAATTTCATCACATATGATGTTTCTGGCTGTTACCAACCCTACATGCTCCAGATACAAACAGCTAGATTTGTGCCCCTATTTTTAAAAAATTTTCATACTAATTTTTTTAATATTGACAATATGTTTTTGTAGCCGAAAACTGCCACAGTTTTAGTGCATTTTTGTTGAAGAAATTAATGATAGTCATACATAATGTAGAGTGTTTTCTGTTGTTTTTTTTTTAATTTTTCAAAACTACTAGTGATCTGATTCCTACACTGCATTTTTAATTAATTTTTGTTTATTTCTTTTCATCTCTTTTTTCATCATCTCAAGCTGGCTAACTGCCTCTTTATGGGTAATGATCACCAAGGGTAACTCAGTGTTCTACAACACTAGTAGTTTAATATCAGAGGTAGAATGCTGACTTGAGTTGGTTGCAATATGTTGGACTTGCGTTCAACTGATAGCATCCTGCCCCTGGAATAAAATATTGTAATATACATGCTTTGCTGGTATTCGTAAATTTTGGGGTAAAATCAGCTATACCATATTTTTAGATTAGGATTTTAATTAAGGATTAGTTTCTATGGATATTTGAAGTGAAAAGTTTATCAATGTTTTTATGCTTATGTATTTTTGTAGTGCAATATTTTAACCCTCTACTCTCCCCTGTCCTGCTTTATTAGCTAATGATTGAATTATCCGCCCCTTTTTCTTAAAGATGTTCACTAAACCAACAGCTTCATAACCAGATGCTAATCCAACCATTGTTAGGGTATTTTTTCATTAGAATCAATTGTTGAGTCATTGTAATTCTGTCTAAATTTGACAAACATTTATTGAATAATTGCATACTTTGGATTGTCTTAATTAACATGATGCATGAAGATTTATTGAAAGATTGAACCTTTGAATATTTTGTTTGTTTGAATTTTTTTCATCAGGATTCTGTATTTTTGCAGTGATCAGAATAAAATGCACTTTACCATTTTTTGTTGTATTGTTGTTGTAAATTGATGCATTATTAAAAGCTGTATTTAAAAAAAATAGTATGTTGATGAATCAACAATACTGCAGGCAGTATGGGTAACAGAGTAGTGCATTTAAACATAGGCTTAAGTCATTGACCTCAGCTGTTTGCGAATGCCCTTATCTTACTATGTTAGACCTCTTTTTTTTTTTAGGACCAACTTCAATGACCCTGTTATTTTTGTGTAAACAGGATCTTCATTCTCAGTCATATCCTGTTTTTGTTTACAAGGACATCAATGTGGTTGAAAAATAGTCCAAGTCTTCAGTGAAACTGGGTTAAAGGAAAAATAACTGACAATTGAGCTGTTGGTTCCCCGTTGATAGTATTTTTAAAGAATACAGGTCTTCTCATGAATTCATTGATTAAAAAAAAATATCGATTATCTTTCCAAAGCAGGTTAATTAAATTAAAGGAATATGAAAGATGACCACATATTTTAGTATTTTTAAAGAATACAGGTCTTCTCATGAATTCATTGATTAAAAAAAAATATCGATTATCTTTCCAAAGCAGGTTAATTAAATTAAAGGAATATGAAAGATGACCACATATTTTGATATTTACAAAACTACATAGCAGCAAACTATATTGATATTTACCATACTAAAGTCATCCATTTTGATATTTACAACATTAAATGATAATGAATCATATTGATATTTACAATATTACATGGCAATGAACCATATTGATATTTACAACACTAGGATAATCAACCATTTTAATATTTACTACATTACATGACAATGAACCAGATTGGTAATTACAACACTAAAGTGAAGCAAATTGATATTTAAAACATTACATGAAATTGAACCAGATTTATATTTTCAAGCGCCCTTCAGTGAACCACATTGTTATTTCCAACACTACAGGACAGGGGGGGGGGGGGCAGACACTGTTAAAATATATATTTTCTATATAAATTATATAAATTTCGTTTGGGGGGGGGGGGGGGGGCAAATGCCTGGAAGAAACTCTGTTCCTTGACATTGAACCAGTGATATTTACAATACCCATTGAATAATAAGAGAATTAATTAGCTAAGTAATCAATTTTAAATAAAACTAACATAAAATTAAACTTTTAACTGCACTGAAAATAAAATGAATTTGCTTTAGTTCATAAAAGCTTTTGTTGCTAAAATATGTAAAAGATTTCATGAGCGACCAAAGCTTTTTACTATAAATGTTTTTTATGATAGTTTTATTTTTCTACTTTTTAGTAATTCCTAGTTTATGAAGTTGATAAAGCTAAAATTATTTGCTTTAAAACACCATCAGTAACTCGCAATATTTGAAAGACAATTATCTGCCTGTGAAAGCAGCTATTCATGACCATATTTTACAGACGACAGCGTTCTTAATATTGTTACCTCCCCTTAGCTTCAAAGGTTTAAAAACTTTTAAATGCCCCTAATGGCCTACATTAGATCGACCAGCTCTACGATTGTAAACATTCGCGTCAACCACAGCTCACCAAGTTGTTAGGGTGATAGCTTTTAGCTAGTTATCTCCCCTTCGGTTATTGAAAATAATAATCTATCGAGGGATTTAATTTTGTTATACCCCCCCCCCCCTTAGGTTCGTAATTGTTTAAATAATTTTTAAGGACTAATTAAACATCTAATTAAATTAATAAATAGATAGACTTGTATAGTCATTGAAGAGGAATGTATCTGGAAAGTTTGAACGAAGTCCCTGCATTAAAAGTGGGTCAATTTTGAGTTTCAAGATTTGGCTAAGACCAACAAACAAACAAACAAAAAGACACTGCAAACTAATTAAAAGCTTGTAAAAAAAGTACTAACCCAGATTCACAGAAAATAAGTTTTTATTGAAATCAGTCACCTTTTTTGTACTATGAAATATAACATGAAATATATTTACTAGGCATGAATATTATCTACCGCTACTTACACAATTCCACTATTTATGATTAAAATAAGTTTAACCTTAAATGCACAGAGTAAAGTATATCTTTGGTGAAAACAAAATGTTTTTCTTATTGCACAATACTTACAACAAACAAGAGGTGTAAATTGTTTAAATATGCTGATAAACTGACTAAAGGATTCAATTTTTGGTATGCAATTAATATGTAATAGTTTAATTAACTATACATTTTCAAAGCAAAAGTTAAAATACATCTTTGACTAGTAAAAACAAATTAATAAGGGAAATATGTAAAAAACGTGTAATTGTAATGATTTGAGATTGTAAAAGTTACTCTGTTCAAAGATTTAATGTCATTAAAAAACATGTTATTACTACTATCTGCATCCAATTTTGTTTTTAAAACTGAAGTACATAAATCAAAACATTTTAAAAGATGTAAAATAAAAATAAATTAAATTGATGTAATAGACTATACACCATTAATTAGTAGACTTAATTTTCAACATGGTTCTTGATTTAACTGTTAAATGCTGTTTTACAAAAAAAAAAGTTAAACAACAAAATTAAAATTAATAATTATGTATAACTATAACAAAAATGACAAATAACTTTGCTCTTATGTTCCAATAAGTCGTAATAGTATATACTTATGAAAAAAGTTTCAATGCTATTTTAACTGTAAAATTTGGGCTAAGAAAAAACAGGATTCATCACTTAATTGACAGCTAACACTAGTCTCTCATGTTAACAGAACAAGGGAGGTAATCCCCCACACATCTAAGTATACAACAGTGCATTTGTAGATTAGAATATTTCAAACTTTTTACTCTTTTTTATCACTTTGTGTTTACAGATTATAAAAATATATAAAAAGTGTTTCACAGTGACAATCAATAGAACTTATTTTAAAACAATAAATGATAAATAAATTGGGAATTTTAAACTCATAATAAAATGTAAGAATTAGTAATAGAGTTTATCACTTGTTTTAGAACTTACAGAAACTGTAAATTAAGATGGACTTGTTTACAGTGTAAAATTATTTTCAATATATAAGTACTTGTGTAAGTTTTTAAAGCTTAAGTATTTAAACACAATCAGCATTTTTAAAAATCTAAAATAGAAGCAGTACATTAGGGGTCGGCATGGTCGAGTCATTAAAGCTCATGGTTGCTAAACCGATAAGTCTCAAGTTCGAACCTTTGGGCAATTGAGGCTTGATAGCTAGGGGCAGCAACACTTCTAGGAGAGACAACTCCAAAATCAAACAACTGCTGCCTTGTAGTTTGTTCTTTGTTGGACAAAGGCTATGGAAGCAAATCCTAAAAGAAAAGCAGGCTGAAATCGGAATCAACTGCCTATATGGCGCATAACCAGTTGACATGTAATTTTTAATTGTGTTGGAGGGAATCCCTTTCAACACTAAAATTAAAAAAGAACAAGACAAGACCAGTACATTTTTAAGGCTAGACAATTCAGGTGGGATTCAACTTTGACTTGGGTAATGGTAACAATAAAAACATTGAATACTGCACGCTGATCAACAATTGAAAATATCTAAACCTTCACCCATTTTAAAACAACTAGCATCCAAAACCACAATAGCAATTATAAAAGCATTATTACAATAGTGTTATGTAATCTAACGATAGCAAAGTGAAAATTAATTTTAAAAAGCACAGAGTTAATAATGCAGAAAACAAAATTATTTTTAAATAGGGGCCTAATCCTTTTGCATTAAAATAAAATATACAGTGATGAAAAAAAAAATATATAATGCCCATATAATATAGAGAAATATAAATTAAATTCAAGGTTGCAATGAGAAAATCAGTGGGCATTTCTAATTAAAGAAATAAATTTTTTTTTAGTCTGACAGTTGAAGTAAAATGAGTAATGGCTAATTAGGTATCAGAAAACAGACTGTAGAAAATTTAAGGTAAATTTGAGAACAATTTTTATATATTTAATCAATTTTATCTATTTTCATGTACATTATTTTAACTAAAAAAACAATCTTAATTACTGCAAAAATAAATTGAAAATGGATTACAATTGAACATTTTGTATAAATGAATGTATCACAGCATATATGATAAATGCTTTACGTGTAAATGTTAAAACTAGCTGGTACCATATATTGGTACATAATGTAAATAAATAGCTAAAATAAACTTTATGACTCAGAAATCCAAAAAGTATGTTCCAACAAGCGATATGTCTAAGTTTTTGACTGATTGTACTTTACAATTGTAATAGACAGGTCTTTAAACTTAAGCGCATGCACAAAAAAAATCATACAAATCTAAAATACATGGGCAATAATCCTATGACATGAATTCAAAGTAGTAGTCATTTAGAATTACTAAACATCCTGCCCTAGTTGAACACACTGTTAGTACTACATAAACTTTCAATGACAAGGAGATTATTTTCAAACATAATTCAAGGTGTCACATAGAAATGAACACTTTAGTAATGTAACCAGATGTGTTGTTAAAGAAGCATCAAAATTATGACTATATTTTCTTTACTTAATTCTATATAATCAACTTTTTCTCTCATGTTTATCTAAATTAAATCAAGAAAATAAAATGTTCTCTAGGAAATCTCCAGAGAAACATTGTTCTATGAAAATTCTCAAACATAAAAGAGGTATAACATACAAATAGCCATTAGATTGTGCAGTTCTACACATAAATATATAAATATATATAAAGATCAAAATACCCAGTCTAAAATTATACAATGGCACTTGTAAGTAATTATTAAAAAATTAAACTAAAACAAATGTAAATGATGTAAACGTATCAAGGATCTGTTCCGCAATCATGAACAAATACTTCAACCACTCTATCTTTCTTGTTGAACATTGGTAGGTATTGAGCTTTCTTTAAGACCAGTTCTGGAAAACAAACATAATAAATTGGTTCTTATTAAAATATATGCAGGAAATATTCAATGTATTTTTTTAATAGTATGATACCAACAGAGCTAGAATGCAGGAAGAAAAAAATCTCAATTTGATAATGTACTAATCTACTGAATTATTTTTTTCTAAACCCAAATATTTTAATTCATTAACATAATTTTATTTTTGTAATGTTTCAAACGTGGCTAACAAAATAGAAGATGACGGACAGAAATGGTTTTGGTTATAAACTGTTGGTTAATTTTTACAGGTATCACATACCATTTACAGTTAACAAATCAGATTCTTCGAGACAGGAAACAGACTTTTTTCTAGTATTGCGGTTGTGAAAACCTCTTAGACACCACATAGCCAGAAGCATAAGGCACACCAGGAATACCAAACACCAGTATGCAATCTGGGCATCTCTAGTACTGCAAAGAAAAACTAGTTCAAGTAAAAAATGCATGTAAAAAAATTTCTGATTTTAAAAAATCATGGTGAATCAGCGCATACTTCTACATTTTCATAAATAGAAACAATAATTAATAAATGTTCCTAAAATATAATTTAAATTAAAGCAAACTAAAACCCATTGGTATTTTATTCACAGACTGCTTACATTTTGTAAATATTTAGAAATTTTTAATGTGTTTAATGTGATTTCTTAAATATAAAATTTAAAGCAACAAAATCTTACATCTTTGAATGACTTTCAAAATTCTTCACTAGCCATTGCTCAATTTGTGTTTCATTATAAGCTGATAACAATGCTAACTGATCAGATGTAGAATTATTTGTTTCAGTGGTGGTGCTATCTTGAACCAGTGTATTCTGGGTAACTGTATATGATGGATTGCTTTGTTTTAAACTGCTGGGTTCTTTAGTGGTTCGCATACTTATAATTGCTCTTTCAACCCTCTTTGGGGATGTGATCATTTTAGACTGAGAACTGAGGTTTTTTGACAAATATTTCAGCAACTTTTCACAAAGCTTTTTGTTTTGGCTACTGCTGTATAAACTTGGCGATTTCATCAATGAATAAAAATATTTGGCTTCCGTAGCTTTAGTGTAACAGGCTTTATCACCAAGAAAACAATACTCCCTTAGCATATATACATCACAGTAGGAGGGGAGATACAACTGAGTATTTTCCAATTCAGGACAATGTGCCTGGACTAGATAATGATTCAATTTTAAAATAAATAAACAATAACAACAAACGACAACAGCCAAGTTTTCTGTTAATTTTTCCACAGGTGTGTTTGAGGCTAATGCTGCTTCTTTTAAGGTCAACACTGTTCCTTTAGTCTTAAATGCTTCTATGTTGTCAAAACTGGCTGGAAATGACATTTTTTCCAGTTTATTCATTTTCTTGGTTTATAAGAAAAGTGCTGAGAAATTCCTATGCAGCAGGCTACATCATTTTTCTGAAATTGTTGGTAAAAAACATAAGTTAAATAAAAAAAAATTAATTTTTTACATTTTAATACATAGTTTAAATTAATTTATATATAATATAATAAGTAAATTAGTAAAACAGTCACTGACACACTATTACAGTAATTACACTAACACAAGTAACAATGATAATCTATAGTTTTAGGTGCGTAAAATTGGCCAACGCTAGTAATGTGCGGAAAAGTTGCCTCATTGTTAATGCTTTAATAGAAGTAAATTGTGATATATTTGTGTCCAATATTAGAGGTAACTGAATAATAAACCAAAATCAATGGCTAAATGTATCAATATAGGCCAGAAATTAACTTTAAACTGAGGTGTTTGCGAGCAAGATTTGCTATATAAACATCTGCCATCTGTAAATAAGAGTGGTTTCCCCTGAATCTCTAATTATAATTTTACCAAAAACAAACCTAAACAAGATGGCTGCTAAAAGTAAATAAGCTTGACTGCATCTGATAAAAACATCGCTAGTTATTATTTTCTACTGAAATGTTTTAATACAGTTGTTTAAAAAACAGCTACATTAAACATTAATGATAATGAAACTTTGATAATATTTTTGTAACTTTCAAAACATAAATCCGAAAATCCTCTTTAAAATATGAAATAATTACTAAAATTTAATGAGTGACCTTTTTTCACATAACTAGACTAGTCTCGGCTGATTTTACATACCTAAAACGATAGATTACCGTAATAACAAGACTAAAATAACAACTTACAAGTACAAACAACAGTACAACTTAACTAACAAACAACGGTAATCTATCGTTTTGGGTACGTAAAATTGCCCGCGACTAGTAATGTGAAAAACAGGTGACTCCTTACATTTTAATAATTATTTCACATTTTGAGGAGGATTTATGCTTTAAAAATACAAAAATGTTTCCTTGTTTCATTTAAGTACCTGTTTTTAAACGATTGAATTAAAACTTTTCAGTAATAAATGAAGACTAGCGATGTTTCCAACAGATGCAACCATGCTCATTTACTATAGCAGCCATCTTGTTAAAGTTTTATTTTTATAGACTTAAAGCGCAAGATTCAGGCGGAAGTCACTCTATTTTACAAATGGCTGCTGTTTATATTGGAAATCTTGCTTGCAGACACTGCTGTTTAAAGTTAATTTCTGGCCTATATTGATATATTTAGCCATTGATTTAGGTTTATTATTCATTTATCTATAATATTTGACACAAACATATCACAATATACTTCTATTACAGCCTTGACAATGAGGTAACGTTTTCGTACATTAATTATAATAGCAGCGGGCGATTTTACGTACCCAAAACGATAGATTACCCAAACAACTAACACAAGACTTCGTCACTTTCTAAACTAAAATCAAAACCCGACTTCTAAGCTTTCACTATTCATCAATTATTATTGTGTAGTAGTAGACTAGAGTACAAGAATCTACATCCAAGATCTATAGTAGTTTTTAGTAACAAACTAGAATTAGAACTAGAAATCAATGCATTTAGAATCTAGTATTTTACTTACTGGCTGATTTACTCTTCGACTTTTGTTTACAACTCACGGGTCAATTGTTGACCCGGTAGTAAAAATTAGTAGTAATACTAATAACCATTTGTTTAATTAGTACTAGTCTATATAGATCTACCAATGCCTACTGAAAGAATATAAAGGTTGTTTTGAAATATAATTTCTAAAAATTATTGTATGTAGATCTAAATCTATATTGACTATTTTGCTTAGAGTGACATACATTTCCTAATGACAAAATCTTACTTAGCTTGCTATTTAGTATTTTGTGCTAAGCTTCACCACTTCATCTTGTCTCATATTTGAAAAGTATTCTAAAACTCGGTTAGTAGACCGCCCTTGGCAACATGTTTACCTTTTATTTTCCACTGCTGTTTGTAACCTTATAAGTTTAATTTAACAAGATAATTCTGCCTCACAATGAACGTCTCAATAAATAATGATCCCCTTAATTTTACTTCATGTGATAAATGCAAAAAGGAACAAACGACAAAAGGAACAGAACAGCTGTTTTTAAAGTCTGTTTCCATTTGGGTCAACAAACCCCACGTCGTGAACAGACGACTTTGCGGATCCAAGATAAACCAAGTGTACCGACTTCATTCTAAAACGGAGGTGCTGGAAGTTTTGCAGAATAATTGCTGCAGATTAAATGATGTACAAGAACATTTACATTTTACAGACTTGGCTGATGAAACCACGCCTTTTGTTTTGATTATTAGAGAACTAGTTCCAAAATCTGAGTTCTTTCCAAAACTTTTAGAGGCTGTTGTTTATGGTGAGTCTCTAATCTAGATCTAGAGATATAGAGTCTAGATCTAATCTAGAATCTAGATCTTAATCTAAATTTTATTTTTTATCAGGAATAAAAAGAAATTTATTCTTAAGTTTAGGTATTGAGTTAGACTAGTTAGACTTTCCTGTTAACTGTGAGAGATTACAGGGTCAGCTACTGTAGTGTTAGTAGACTGTTGGTAAATTGCAAGATGCAAAATGGCGAGGGGGTAAATCTTAAGAAAATGTGAAACGCAATGTGCAAAACATTATTTTTATTTCATGCTTTTTGTGGGTTTTTTCACCACATATGCGAGAAGAAAATTTATAAACCTAACAAGTAGATCTAGGTATATCATGAGTGTTTTTAAAACACTGTTTTATGTTGTTCTTTGATCTAGTTTACATTTCTTAGAATTAAAATATTCACAAATCTAAACATCCTTGTTCCTATGATCGCCGCTCACTTTTTCTTATCACCTGGAGAAAATCCGTCCCAGTTGACGAGTGACTTTTGAGTCCATAAAGAGAGTACCATTTTAGACTATATTTTTAAAAATCTATAGGCCCTATCTGTATTTAAAATTCTAAAAATTGTCGCCTGCTTCTCGCTCGCTCACATTTCTTGTCAGCTCCTTTTAAGGGGTCACAGCCAGTGCATATTAAAATCTAAACATGAGCAATAGCAATTGGACAAACGTGCCTGGGGTCAAAGTGTTAAAGTAAGAGTGTTAAATGGATTTTTACTACTACAACTACTATTAGTGATTTTGCCCGGTGAACTATAAAGCTATAGCCTATATTCCTCCTTGATCTTTTATTTACAACTTATTTATTTTTACAACTTCATAGATAAAGAAAGAGCATCAGTTAGTTTTATACCTGTTGGACAAGACTGTGTTGGAGTCAGGGAAAGTATTGCCCCTACATTTGAACTCAAGTACTGCTTTCAGTTCCAAAAAATTAATGAAACTTTGTAAGTCACTATATTTTATGTTGAAAGCCTTTTGATGTTACCTTAAGTGGCACTTCGACTTCATACTTATACTAACACCTGCTTTTTTTTTTTTCAAAATTAAATCTATCTGATATTTTAACATAAAAAATAACATATAGCAAATGTATATACCATAGAAAAATAAAAATAAAACTTGTTTGAAATACTACTATTTTTGTATAAAGCATTAAATTTGTTTTTATTTTAGCCCAGCTTGGGCCCAGGTGAATGAGATTGTCCTATCCTGGTCATGTGATCATGAAGAAAATGAAGAAACTCGCAGGCAGTTGTCGTCCCATTGGCTACACTCTACTCTGCTGGAAAAACTAGTCATTTGGTCTCACATCAATGACATTTCAACCTCAGCTACATCCTTGACCCTGGTCCCCATTGACAAGTACAAAGACACTTATGTCAGACTTAAAAACTGTTATGGAAGAGATTTAGTCAAGGTTTGTTTTTATATTCTATCTTGAATTGTGTGGACTTTTAAAATTTTTCTAAAACAATCTGATGGTGGAGTTTTGGTTTCTGCTTTATTTTTTCAAATTTTTTGTATTCTTAAAATTTTATTCAGCTTATGTTGCAAAAAAAAAAGACACAAGCTCTTAAATTTAAACGAGAATAACTGACTCAAATCAGTGCATGTAGAAGTAACTGAATTGACTGCATCATCTTGGGAGTCACCAAGACAGATTAATTCAATATTATCTATCATATGGCCTGTTAGATCTGATAAGGTACTCAGTGTTTTTGTTGAGGGAGGACAGTGCTTTTATTTAACAATTGTTTATGCTCAGTTCCTTTGTAACCACTATGTAATATTTCAGAATTGGACAGAGAGAACAGATCCTAAAAAGTTTGTTTATGAAGATGTGGCTATAGCTGCATATCTCTTGGTAACTAAATTAGCAATATTTTCTCTTCATGGTTTTTCACAAAAATTGATCTAGCAAAAATATTTACCCTTTTTAAAATGGCATAGTATTTTGGTTACCATTCTTTAAAGGATGATTAAAATAGAATATATATGAATGTTTCATGTCCAAGTTAAAAATTATAATTTTCTATTATTTTAGATTTTGTGAAAAACTTTTTCAAATATGGCCACATAGAAATCGGCACTTTAACATTTTTACCTATTACTTCGGCACTTTAACATTTTCACCCATTACTTGTCACAGCTGATATGGGAAGAGGATCGCAAAAAGAAAGGGATATCAAAGAAACAAAGCTTTGTAGACCTGGGCTGTGGAAATGGATTACTTGTTTACATTCTCACTAAAGAAGGGGTAATTGTTTGATCATTTCTTTTCAACATATAGGCCTACGTCATTTTTTTAAATGATTTTTTTTCCCACTAGTTTTTAAAAACAATCAATAGCCTTGCATTGTAATAATTTTTGTGCATGGGATATCTGACAAAATCTTGGCCTTTAATTTGTCAATATTTTATCTTTAATTCCCAGCATAAGGGGCTGGGGATTGACTTGAGGAAGAGAAACATCTGGGACACATTTGGTCCTGACATTGACCTCAGGGTAAGGCATGTTTTGTTTCATTTCTCTTTGTGGTTCTGAATTTTAAATAACTCCATTTATTCATACTGTTACAAGATTGTTGATAGTTTTGAGTTCTTTTCCATATTAGTTACTATGAAGCAGCAATCTGCAGAATATGTGGATAGCTCAGATTGTTTTTTTCTCATGTAAATTGTAATGTATTCTTTTGATGTTTTTTGTTTCTGTACTGCAAATTTTGTTCATATGTAACTTGTTTATGTATTGCACATATTTTTTCACATGTAAGTTATTTTTGTATTACACATGATTTTCACGTCAGTTGTTTATGTATTGCTCATATAAGTTGTTTCTGTATTGTGACTGTTATTTTTCTCATATGTCCATATGTCAGTTGTTTCTGTATAGCTCATGTCAGTTTTTTTCTGTATTGCTCATGTCAGTTGTTTCTGTATTACACAAGTAAGCTCTTACTGTATGGCACACAGGTAGAAACCATCAGTCCCTCTGCTGATCATTTGTTCCCAGACTACGACTGGATCATTGGCAACCACAGTGATGAGCTCACTCCATGGATTCCAGTAATAGCTGCCAGGTGAGACGATCAAAGAGTTCAGTATTGTGTTGGCTCTTTTGTGTTGTGAGGGCTGGTTAAAGTATACAACAGGAAGTTACCAGCTGCTGTGGTGTGTTGGGTGAATGAGATTTTGCTGTGGCCAATGTGGGCGAGGGGAAGAATACATGATTGCTAACCTAAAGGTTCTAAGTTCAGACCCCGGGCAGATGAGGATCAATTGCTGGGGAAAAACAACCCATCTAGGAGAGAAAACTTCTAAACCAAACAACTGCTACCTTGCAAATTGTTCTTGGGTGGACAAAGACTATGAAAGCGCTAAATTCAGAAAGAAATGCAGGTTGAAGACGGCGTCAGTACTCAACTCTGTTGAAGGAAATCCTCTCCAAAATTATAGTTAAGAACAAAGAAGAAAAGAAAGAAGAAGGGATGTTATAAGGAAGTGTTGGTTTTTGTGTACTGTTGGAGTTATGTATGGATGTGTGGGTATATTAAGTGTACGATGTGTTGGGTAGGTTTATAGTAACGTTATGATATGTTGGTCCTCCTAATGTAATGTATTTTTACTTGTTCAATGTGGTAGATAAAGCAAACTCACTTTTTTGTCTACACTTTGTGCTAAGTAATCTTGAAACAAAAACTTTTTATTTAGACACATTCAGGTTCTGAGGCGCTTCTTTAGCCACAATCAAATGTTTCAACTTTTATTTTGATTAAATGTAAAGAAGAAGAAACAGTAGTATAATGCCATCTGTTACATGTTAGCAATTATTTGTTAGAAATTTTTTCTTGACTGGCCGACTTGACAGTGTGAATATTTCTGACTACTTTTCATCATCTTTTCCTGTTGGTGCCTAAGACACATGGGGCAGTTGAAGTAGAGTTAATCTATTACAATGACCATCTCATACGAGTGGATAATCTGGTCAGCACTATGCCCAGCTGCCTTACTTTCCTTAACATGTGTTACGTACCCACTAGAGCTTGGTGTATTCAGGACCGTTCTACTTACTTGAGCCTAGATTCAAAGTTGAGGCTTTCAGGTGAGCAGTCTACCGCTAGACCAGGGGTCTCCAAACTTTTCAGTCCGAGGGCCGCATTAACTATCAAATTTCAGTTCGGGGGCCAGTTTCTTCCAGGTATGTCTTTGATTTTTCTGGGTAAAGTTCCTCAGCCATCACCAACAACCGATTTTTCTTTGGACAAAAAGATCTCCGCGGGCCGGATGAGAGGACTTCGCGGGCCGTAGTTTGGAGACCCCTGCGCTAGACCACCCCGTCCCCTCTAATTTCTTTTATCAATGTTTAACATTTCTGTTTGTTTTCAGGTCCTCCTACGACTGTTGTTTTTTTGTCTTGCCATGCTGCCACCATGATTTTGTCGGGAAATTTGGTGTCAGTGAGAAGGGGAAAAGTCGCTACGAGTCCTACCTGGACTACGTGAAGGAGATTGTGTCGTACTGCGGCTTTCACCCCGAGTCTGATACACTGAGGATACCGTCAACAAAGAGGGTGTGTTGATGACCTTTAACCCTATAGTGCCTGAGTGAATTTTTGACTGGCCAAAAGTCAGCTAAACGAGAATAATTTAGAAATAAACATGTTGCATCATAATCACTGTAGAACGACTTGATAATGGTTAATTTTTAAGCTGACACAACATAAGTTACTTTAGAAAATATTTCACAAGGGCATTAAAGGGTTAATTCTTGTCCCCAATTTCAATAGCTAAAGAAGTAGCTGACAACTAGCAACACATTTTAAAATCTTTACGTTAGTGTATTTGTCTTGATGGTTGAGGTTATTTGATTTTATTTACATTTAAATTTTATATTATTGTTAATTTAATTTGAGTTTTTTTAATTCAGTCTAAAAAGCACTAATTATTGAATAATTAAAATATAGACTCAAAAATATAGATTTTTAAAAAAATTATTTGTTAATTTTTTAAACTTCAGTTTTTAAAATAAAATTTTAAAGTTTTATTATATTCTAATGATATTACTTTCAATGAATGAAATACTTTAATAGACTCTCAACAGAGATTTTTTAAAATTTGCATTCATTTTGATATTTCCATTTTTTGAATACTGTTATTATAATATATATATATATATATATATATATATATATATATATATATATATATATATATATATATATATATATATATATATATATATATATATATATATATTATAATTAACTAAAAAACCAACTGTAATCACATATTCTTATTTCAGTTGGATACATTTCACTTAGTTTTTGTTTAATTCATTCCAGATTTGTTTTATTGGCCGTGCGAGGAAGTACAAGAAGGAGGAAGAACCTGTGGCTGATGTGGAGAGGCAAGCCTTCATAGACAAGAGGACAACCCACAGCCACAGTCTGATCTCACACAGGCAGAAGTACCCGTACATCCCAGCAAAGAGGGCCCAGTCTGCTGAGTGCTCACAGCTTCAGGGGTCAGACTCTGGTAGTCAGGGGTCACAGGCTGGTACCCAGGGTCAGGGGTCAGAGGTTACTTGCCAAACTGAAAGATTAGCTCACCCACCTCAGCTAAAACCAGGGGACTGTAGTGACGTGGACATGGAGTTGAACTATGAACCTGACCTTAGCTCAGCGCCAGGAGAAATTTCGAATCCTCTGGTCACAGATAAAAGAAAATGTGATAACCTTGACCCTGGTCCACTTCAAAGGTTAGACGCAACGAGTCATCAGGTCAAAAAAATAAAGAACAGTAGTGCATCCTGCAGGCATATATCAGCAGACAGTTCCTGTAATCAACAAGCAGATACAGATAACACACAATGTTCTGCCGTGACATGTACGGGTGAATCCGCAAACTCCTACAGCAGCTGTGAAAAAGTGTCAGAATCCATGGATTCCAGGAACAGCATTGGAAACAATTCAGTGGACGGCGTCTCGCTGGGCGGGGCTAAACAGTGGGCGGCGGAGTTCCAGCCGAGGGCGGAGGAGAGAGTGAGGAACTGTCAGAGCGTGCCGGAGCACATCAAGCTGCAGATAGTCAGCGCCGTGTTCCAGCTGGTGCTGAATGCCCCTGATGCTGTCAGGGTGACACTGGAGACTGGGAGGACTTGGAGAAGGGGAGGTAACCACTATTATAAATACTACTTGTAGTTGTTGTGTACAAAAAAAAATTATACCTTTTTTAGGAAAATCCGAAAAATTATTTTGGAAGTATTAATTCTACAATATGGTTTGCAATAAGCAACATTTTTGACAAATTTGATTGGAAAAGAGTTAAGGGAAATAGGAATCTTTAACTAAAGTACACACATTGTTAAAAAAACCATCAGATAAAAATTTAAACCATTTATGAAAACTTTTGCTGTGTGTTTAAATTAGTTTCTTATGTCACTTGTGCCTGTCGTATCTGACTGTTTTATTTCTCACCAAATATTTTGTCATTCACCAATACCTACGACACTGTGACTTCCTCTTGGATCTATACTGTTTTCATTTTACAAACCTAATTACAAAACTTTCATGCTAATGGTATAAAGTTTTAAAAACATAACAAAACTTTTGACCGGTGAATTTTTGACTTGACTTTGCTTCGCTCCATACATCAGGGTCTGTGCCGCTGAACCAAGTAGCGGAATTGTTTGACAAGCCAACGCTACATGCCCTCAAGTCTGAGTGTGGAGGTCTCCAGACTTTGTTGCGCAACCACAGCCATGTGTTTCAAGGTAAGCACTGACTTATCAAAGTAGTGGGGCCTACCTGATATTTGATGTGTTCTTTTGTTTTGTTATTAGAACGAAACTGAAATGATGTTATTTAAAAGTAGAGAAAGGTTTTTAAAAAAATGATGACTAAATATTTATTTTCATTAAAAAAAATTCTTTTACCACAGTACAAAAACAAAGAGTATCTTTAATTGTATATATCTACACACACAAAATCTGTTTTTTGTGTCTTTTATTGACAGTACTTATAAGATTCTTTTGTGGTTGAAAGCAATTATTGTTAAACTGAATATTTTTTTATTTAAAGTCTTTGCAATATATTGATTGACTTGCTACCCTTAAGATTCTTATGCCTTGAAAGTTGTTTAAATACTTTTAATTTAAATTCTTAGTCTATTATTGACTTCTTACTTATGCGCTTAAAACTAATTGTATAACTAAATATTTTCTATTTAAATTCTTCATCTGTTATTGGCTTGTTACTTACAGGCTTGAAATTAATTAATTAATTAACTAAATATTTTCTATTTAAATTATTAAATAATTAATTATCTCTTATTGACTTCTTACTTGTACACTTGAAAGTAATTGTTTAACTAAGTATTTTTTAATTTGAATTCTTCATCTGTTATTGATTTATCCTCATGCTCTTTAAAGTGACTGTTTAAATATTTTCTTCACTTGACAACAGTAACTGGAGGTCAGGTACAACTAAGGGACTTCACCCAAGCCGACCCATGGAAGGGAAGAAACCCAAACAAACTGAAGGGGAAGCAACAGAGGGACACAAGGAAGACAACTCTCTGCTGGTTCCATGTCCACCACCCAGAAGGCTGCCCTAGGCCCAGTGATGAGTGCCAGTTTGCTCATGGGCAGATAGAGCTAAAGAGGAAAGAAACAGCTGATGTTAAGTAGTAGTCAGTTTTAGCAGTAGCAAACTGGGCTATAAATAGATGTCATTAGCTAGAGCTTTTGAGTTATGTTTATTTGATTTGGAAAGATATTTCACATCATTGTAATGTCAACATACTGTAACATAATGTATTGCTGATATGTGCTAGAACATGAGGTGTGTACTGGAACATTTAGAGTGTGCTAGAACATATAAAAAGTGCTAGAACATTTAAAGTATGCAAGAACACAAAAGGTGTGGTAGAACATATAAAGTGTAATAGAACACTTAATGAGTGCAAGAACATATATAGTGTGCTAGAACATATAAAGTGTGCTAGAACATTTAAAGCGTGCTGGAACATATAAAGTGTGCTAGAATATTTAAAGTGTGCAAGAAAATGTAAAGTGTGCTAGAATATATAATGAGTGCTAGAATATATAAAGTGTGCAAGAAAATATATAGTGTTCTAGAACATAAAGTGCGCTAGAACATTTAGTGTGTGTTAGAACATGTAAAGTGTCTAGAACAAATGATATGTAAAAGAAATTGTCATGTGTTCATAACATGTTCTAAAATGTTCTGTTTATTTTTCCAACACCTAATACTGTCCTATATAATGAGTACTCCCTGCTCTGTTAGACAATAAAATCAGTCAGCATTGTCAACACCTCTCTATCATAAAACCCATGTTCCCTTGTTATTTTACCTATGAGATACTTAATTCAGTTTATAATCTTTTAATAAACAGTACTGTTTCTGATAATTATTTGTCGAAAGTCTTTTTGTCATTGATATTATATTACACATAAAACATTTTTAAAAAAAACAGTGGTATATAATTTTTTATTTCTTTTAATACCTTTCTTATTTGTAATATAAATTGTAACACTTTTAAAATACATTAGTTATGTAGAGGTGTAGCAAAATGTAAAACTATCTCGCCCAGGCACTTTCTTTGGAAGAGAGTCATTGATGCCAGTTGTTTCTATGGTAACCCTAGGCCTCGTCACCTGTCAACAGAGACAAGTAGTAATAACAAAAAAATCAACATGGAGGCTATGCTATGCATGACGTTGGATGTGTACGGCCTACAGGCTTACAATTAAACAACAAATCTCGTCAGGAAAATACTCTTTAAAAATATGTAGGCACTGGTCAGATTAAATGGGTTTTTCTGTAGTTCCGCCGCCCCATGTCAAAATTATTTTAAGAATTCTCTGGCTCCAGTGACCTTTTGACCCAAGGAAATGAAAGACTATTGAAGGGATATCTTCCTGTGAACCTTTTTTTTAAATTTTTTTTACAAAGGCCCTGTATCGAGAGCCGGATTTGAGGGTTCTATAACTTTTGGGTCATCCATAAATGACGCCACGCTAAAAGCCAGACCCCCCCCCTTAAAATTGCAGTTGAATTTTTCTTAAAATACGACATTTTTCCAAAATCTTGTATGAACTCTGTCTACATGGAGTATTTTAATCAATTCCTATTACAATTTATTAAAACAGTTTTCTAAAGCGTGAAATAACGCATAAAATTCGTTTTCTAACATTGCTTTTTTATAATGCGAAAATGTGACGTCACACCATCTCCCCCCTCCCCCTCATCACACACCGTCACAAAATTAAGGACCCCTCCCTTCCCCTACGAATGTGACGTCATTTATGTACGACCCCTTTGGCCTAGTAATACAATAAGGACCACGCCTCAGCTTTTTTGAAATACATCCTTGCATTTCGATAAAGTTACTCTTTTAAAAATAGCTGTCCGTGGTCTGATGAAGTAGAGTTCAACTGTTACTGTGACTTCGGCATCTTTGTGATGGGATAGAGAATCACTATTAAAACCTTATGGACCTGGCTTCTTTAAGAAAGTCAAATCTACTCACTGTCTCTCCCATCCTCAGACGCCGTGCTGTAGACTGTGTCGCCCCCTAGCGTGTCAACACTGGCGCCCATCTCACGGTTGCTTTGTTTCGTTCTCAGTTTGTCTGTTGTGCTATTCCAGTTTTTAAAAACGTAAGATTAAAAAAAAAATTTAAATCAAGCTTTGAAGTTAAAATTTCGTTACAAACGTGAAGGAAGAAAAAAAAAAAATTAACAAGCAGCAAGCAAGTTCCCCCCCCCCCCCCACAAAAAACGTCTATCGCCCCCCCCCCCCAACAGAATTTATATAGAAAATATTTACTTTTACCAATGTCTGCCCCCCCCCTCCCCTCCCCCGCAAAATGATCCGCCCCAGGAGAAAAAAGTTTGAAAGAAACACTGGCAGCAAGTCTTTTTAGAAAAAATAATCATCCGCTCTTCATTTCCTCCAAAGATTGTCGAAGACCCTGTTAAGAATCATGACATGCCTAAAGTGCTTGTTTGCACTTAAAAATGTATATAGGCCTAGATATATTAAAAGGCAATCTGTAGGTAAACGTATTATTCAAGATCTTGGAAAATACACTCCGCTACTGTCTCATGTTACCGAGTCCAGTGGAATCAGAGGCGTAGCGAGGGGGGAGGTGCGGAGCGCACCGGGTGACACCATTTAGGGGGGTGACACCAAGGCAAAAAATAGCAAAATATATAGAGAAAAACTTGAGGGGGGGGGGGTGCAAATCGAAAATGTGAGAGGGGGTGCAAATCGTAAATTTGAGGGGGGGGGGGGGGGCAAATCAAAAAATTTTAAAGTTTGTCCCCGGGAAGGGTCGCTACGCCTCTGGGGGGGGGGGGGGTGACACCATTAAGTGCCGCATCGGGTGACACCCGACCTCGCTACGCCACTGAGTGGAATCACTATGTCGGTACCTCACGGTGTACCCCCTCCCCCTTTCACTTCATTTATTTGATTAGATTAAACATCGCATCCGGTCATTGACTTAGAAGAACTCTACTTGAACTGCCCCGTGTGTCTTGGACACGAATGGAAAAAAAAAACAACTTATGATGAAGACTACTCTATTGACAATGTAGTCTACCGTTCGCTTATTCTGTTACCTGTGTACAATCGACACTGTTGTCGAATGTATTAAAAATATTGTAACAACTGCATTTATCATGGCATGAACTTTCTCAAAATGTAAATCAAGACATCAACGGACAAATACAAGAAATTAATTATTCTACCGAGAGTCTCAGGAGTTGGGGGGGGGGGGGGACGTCACGCTCTTCTAACCTATTTTTAACTCTTCCCGCATTCGTTGATCTGGTATCGTTGTTTATAAATAAGGCTAAACCAGGTGTTGGAGTTTACTTTTTATCATTACAACATTATACCAGCAGAGCAGCAGAATGAATATGCGGATATGACTTGGCGTGGCTGATGCTGGTTCACTAGAGGAAGAAAAAAAAATTGTTACCTTTCTTCACCTTCCTCTAGCCTGGACGGGTTTCTCTGCTAATTCTTTGGCGCTGCACTTTGGAGTTTTGGCTTGGCACGACCTTGTGGAAACGGGAGAAGTTCATTGCACCTGGTGGGGGGGG